CGCACCCCTACCCGGCTCGGGGCGCCCCACGAGTGCGAGAGAGACGGAGAGACTCGTCGGAATGACTCGGGTGGCGGGCCGAGTGGCCAGTGGCCGCGTGGCCGGGCCCCGGGAGTACTGCGCAGCGCGCTTGTTGACGTGCAAGCGATCCGATCCGCCCCCGAGGCCCCACCGTCCCGTCCAGCGCGGCCCCGCCCGCCCCGCCCGCCCCGCCCGGCCTGCGCTACGCCGTGGCCACGCGGTGAGGCGGACAGGCGGCTAGGCATGCGCAGGTAAACAAAACCAACAAAACAGCCCTGGGGATGGATGGCGGACTGGTGGGCGGCACTGGGTCGCGCGGACGAGCTATTATTAAGACTGCGCCGTCAAGCGGACGCCGACAATCCGAAAGTCCAAACCCGGGTGCGGATCCACTGGAGGGGCAATTTGACTCCCATTGGCCCCTAGATAGCCACACTTCGCCACTGTAAGTAGGCAAAATGTGCTGCTTGGCCCCTCCCTCACGCCGGTTCTGGATCCGCCACTGCCCGTCGCGGAACGCCCGTGGCGTGGCACGCCGCGTCCACTCGGCAATGGCAATGCCGGCAATGCCCACTCAGACTTTGACTTTGAGTGACATAACGACACCGCCGTGCCGTGCCCTGCCGCGCGGATTAAAGACTCGCTGCCCCTCTCCAGCGCTGGAAAAAATGACCGGCAGATTCGTGTGAAAATGCGGCGCGCGCGGAGCACCACATTTGCATGAACATGATCAAAGTTTCTTTCATTTTTTTTTGCCTCCGGTCAGGGGCCGGTCCACGTGTGGCGTGAGAGAGAGCGAGAGAGAGATAGCGACAGGTGCGGCAGGGAAGCAGTTCCATTATTTTTCCTCTCTTTTGCGAACCTAGCGAGGCCGCCGTGGCAAGTCATGAAGCCAGCCCTGGCTAATTTGGGTAAAAATTCAAAATTCCATTTATTTTTTTCAGCCATGCAACGGCCCCGCGCCGTCTTACTGACAGTGTGCCCGCTTCGCGCTTCCCCCGCCGCGGGCGGTCCTCGCGGTCCTCGCGGTCCTCACACACAACAGCGACCGCGGGACGGAACTCACACCCAGCCGGCGGCCGTGCGGTGGAATCCGGACGCAGCAGACTCATTCCGAGAGGCACCTGTGCCGGACACCTCATGAGTGCGAGAGAGACAGAGCGACGAAACGGACTCTCGGAATGAGTCTGCTGCAGAGAGGGTTGCGCGGGACGCCGCTTCGCCAAGGCATGGCACAGTGGGCCAGAAGACCGGCGGAGGCGGCCAAAACTCCAAACGCGTTTTGAGCTCCAGAGTCGCTAAACAGGCCTCGAATCGAACGTGACCCCATCAATGGATTCCTCGTTCGGAGAGCAATCCATTGGTGGGGTCACACGTTCGATTCGAGTCCTGTTTAGTGACTCTGGAGCTCAAAACGCGTTTGGAGTTTTGGCCGCCTCCGCCGGTCTTCTGGCCCACTGTGAATGGCCCAGGCTCAGGCTCCCTCTCGCTGGCTGGCCATCTTCATCCAGACGGGATGCTCGTCTGCTTCCGGTCGCGGCGATAAGGCGTTCCCGGATCGGCGATCGGTGGCAAAGTTTCCAGCCCCGCGGCACGCATCCCGTTGGATGTTGGCCGGGCCGGGCCAGGCCCTCCCCGCAGCCGTGGCGAAATGGCGAAATGGCGAGCAGAGCCCGGCAGAGCTGCCACCGGGCAGCACCGGGCAGCCAGCGGGCACGCGTCTGGGACGTGTCTTAGGCCGGCCGGCCCCTCTCAGCCCGAAGCTCCAAAGGCAGCCGCCCGTTCGGCACTTTCACTTTCAAATCTAAAACGCCGGCTCAGCCGATATGGCGCCGGGGGAGGGGAGGGGCTCCACCGCGCCGCGGCAGTGCGGGGCGTCGAGGCGCGTGCATTTTGGCACGTCAAAGCAGAAGGGGGCTCTCGTGTCTCCCTCCCGCACACACGGGACGCTCCACGAGTGCGAGCGAGAGGGATTGCCGACCCAGCAGGGCCCAGCATGACGCGCGGCATTGCGCACCCCGTGCTCCACACGCAGCAGTACTACTCGACGCGCCTCGGGGGCGGGGGGCGGCGGGGCGGGGCGGGGCGGGGCCGCCTACCTAGACGTCGCCGTGGTCGCGGTGGACGTGGCGTGGCTGCGGCGGCGCGCCGCGGCGGCGGACGCTGGCCGGCCGGCATATTTTGAGCCCCTTCTTTTTCAGTTAGGCCGCCCCCCCGCCCCGCCCACTGCCCCCGCGGCCCCCGCCAACACGCCGCCACGCCGCCACGCCACGCCGCCGCGGTCCAGATTAGCGGCGACAATAAACGCCAAGGGCAACGCCAGGCAGCACCGCCCTGGCACTCTGGCACCGCCCCCCACCAGGGCCGCCGGTCTGGTGCCCCGGCCGGCCCAGGCCCCAGGACACATGCTAAACTTTTTGCAAAAACTCGACGGCCGCGGGAGGGTATCGAACCCGCGCTGCTCACCTCGGTAGTGCGGATCGCAGAAGGACGCCCCGGTGAGGCGGGCACGGCGGGCACGGCGGGCACACTGGTGACGACGAGCGGAGGAGCATGCCGCGCACGGCACGACACGACGGCACTTCACTCACAATAATGGGACACTTTCCCCACAATCAAGAAACAAACACCAACACCCAGCCAAAAACTGCACGGAAAGCCACGGAAACTTGCTCTTTCCACTTTCACTGTGACGGCGGGCGGCCCGGGGCGGCGGACGGCACGACACTCGCGGGCCGCACGGCGCCGCACGGCCTGGACACGGCCAGACGGCCACACGCACGGCGAGCAGCGAGCACGACGCGACGGCGGGCGGCAGGCAAGGCGGACAGGGGCGTGTGCCAGAACGAGCGCGCTCGGCCACCGCTACAAACGGACTGGCTGGCTGGCGGCTGGCGTGCCGGTGGCGTGTGGCGTGCCGGCCCCAGCCACTGCCGCCGCCCCGCCGCGCCCCACCACCGACCTTGTCACGGGAAGGGGCCGCGGGCCGCGGACTGCGAAGGGAAGGCGAGGGAAGAGGGAAGGGCGTCGCCGCGGCGTGCCGATAGGAAAGGTGTCACGTCTTTTTCGGTTTTCGGTTTCGAGTTGACGGCTTGACTTCGCCGGCGCGACGCGGCGCGGCGTGGCGCCTCCATCCTCGATCCCGGCGGACCGCGGCCCCACCCCGCCGCTCTCCGCGGTCCGCAGTCCTATCCGTACGCGCTGCCGGCCCGCGAGTCTCTGTCTCTGTCTCGGAGAGGAAGAGGGAGATAGCCGCCGTGCCTGCCGCCGCGCCGCCCGGACGTCCTGCGTCACTGCACTGCAGGCCTGCCGCCGCCTGCCGCCGCCTGCCGCCGCGGTCCAGCTTGACGTCACTCGGCGTGTTTAATAAATACTCGGGCCGTCTCGGGTTCAGCACACTGTCTCTCTCTCGCACCTACTAGGGGACGCCCCATGAGCGCGAGTGAGACAGAAGACTTTCAGAGTGTGTCTGCAGGACGCGGCGCGTCAGCGAGGGAGAAGAACGCCGCCGATGAAAACGGAGAGCCAAGCCTCTGGCGGCGCTCGAACCCGCGTCTCGCGGCTCTCATACTTTCCTCCGGTTTAATAGCTGCTTTAGACCAGCCGGGCCGCCGCGGCCCGCCCGGTCGGGTGATCGTGTGGGAACTGGGAGGCAGGGCAGGGCAGGGTGAAATCCGAAAACAATGTCGGTGCACGTCGGGCCGCGTCGAGCCGCGTCGAGCGCATGCATGCAGCCGCTCTCCCCGCCGCGGCGCTTCCTTCGCCCGCCGTGCCGTCGGCCTGTCCCGCACTGCAGTGTGGGTGCGTGCTGGGACTGTACGCCCGGTACGCCGGTACGCCGCGCCAATCAATAGTAGTGGCAGTACGCGGCCCTGGGCCGTGCCCCCCGCCCCGGCCGCCCCGCTGCCCAGGTCATGCACCTGTTTGTTTTGCTTCGGCGTGCTGCGCGCTGCGCGCTGCCCGCTCCAGCCGCGCGCCACGGCACGCGCCAGGCACGCGCACGGAGCGTGGCACTGCCGCCCCGCGCGACGCGGCACCGCCTTTCCGCCAACCGACATAAACAAACACACTGGAAGGACAGGACACGCTCGCGGCGGGCAGCTTTTAACGACCAGCAGGCGATGCACGGCAGCACGCCGCACGCACGCCGTCGCCGCCACCACGCATGCACTGGCGGCATCGTCCTCAGGGGCCTTGGACGGCCTTGGCCGGCCTTCGGGTCGGTCGCGAATATGCCGTCACTTCCGGAAGGAAGGTCCCCGCCTTGGCAGGCTCGCCTCTTATAGCTTGGCGGGGTGGGGCGGGGTGCGGTCCAGCCCCCCTTTCCCCCGCCAATGCGGCCCGCCGGCCCTCCCTTCCGGGCCATGCCCCCCCCCTGCCCCTCCGCGCCGACGTCCACTACGTAAACAAGGCGCATCGCTGGCAGACGAGAGCGATGCCCGTCCTTCTGCGGGCACTGCGGCACCGCGGCTGGCAAAATAATGGACCCTCGGACCCAAGATCCCCCCCCCCCTCCCCCGAATCCGCCCGGGCCGAGAAAACGTCGACGCGTGCGGATGACCCACACACGTGCTGGTGGGCGTCGGCAGGGCGTCGGCAGGGCGTCCCCGCGGCGTCGCTCTGAATCAGGGGCCCGAATTAGCGCCCCCACAGGGACAGGGCCCCGCGCCCGGCCTGCCCCGGCCGCGGCCGCGGCGGCGGCAAGGCGGCGTGCCGCTAAGCAACAGTGCTGCAGGCGGTGCAGGGCCGCGGCGGGGCCAGAAGGGGCGGGAGGGGGCGGCCCGGCGGCCGTTCGCACGCCACTCGTCCAGCCGAGTGATTTGTCGCTCTGTCCCCCTCGCACCCTTATGGAGAGCCCACGAGTGCGACAGAGACAGAGCGACGAAACGACTCTTTCTGAATCGCTCGTCAGCGCATCACATAGAGAGACAAGGAGAGCACCCGTCGAGCTGCGACGCTGGGAGAGAAGAGGTACTCACTTTACGACATGAAAGACGTCCTCCTCTGAGTTCGGCGAGGCGAGCGCCGGGCGCGGCGACGGGTGCTGCGGAACACACGGAACACAACACGTTGTCAGATGATCCACCGATAAATGTCAAGGCAGTTCAAGTTAACCAAGTAAACTGAGTAAAAGCGGGAAATATCGCGTGGGAGCGGTTCTGCAGTGTGGCGCGATAAAGGCAACGCGACTCGGTGGCTCTGGAGCCCCTGACGAATGCAGGGTAGGCAACCAGGCGACACCCCTGCGTACGGGTTGCCTACCCGCCACGGCTGTTTGAGGCGGGGTGGCACGGCCTGCTGGGGCTGCTGGCGCGTTCATCAATGGTGGATTCCACACGCTGTTTGCGCTGGACTGAACACACAAGACGCATGGATTTCGCTTCGCAGCGGATTCAACGCCCCCAGCAGCAGACGACACCGCGGCGCTCCGCGAGGTGCAACAGCAGACGACACGCCAGCCTTTGACAGCAGCACTCTGGCGGCCCTAGGACGCGCATGCCTGCGTGTTTTTGCGTCACAGAGCCACCAAACGACGCCGCGGCGCGGACAGCGCCCCGCGGGACGGATGGCACCCCGACCAAGGGGCCCGCGGCCGTCTCAACAGCAAATACGTCGGGGCGCCGAGCCTCCTAACCTCAACGCCAACCCTCCCCGAACACTCGCCCCGGGGTGCGCTCGCCCTGCCCGCCCAACAATGTCCGAGGTCTGCTGGCTATGCGCAGCGCACGGCGCGGGGCACTGCTCCAAAGCCAGCATCGCTTTCGTGTCTACTCACGAAAACGCGAGGCCTCCCAAACTCATGGAAGCCCACCGATGCCAGCCTTGCACAGCACAAGCGCTAACCGCGCAAACGGCCACGGCACGGCTCACCCCTGAAAGATCAATGTTGGCCGTTCCCCTCCCGATCCACGATCTGCCCGGGACTGCGAGTCGCACGACGATCGCGACGTGCCGAGCGGACGGCCACTCCCAAGCCGCGACACCACGGAGCAAATGGCGCAGCGACACCCGCAAGGAATAGTGGCAAATACATGGAAATTACCGGCACCGAAATGTTCACCCAGTTTCCATTTCACTGCGATGACGTCACTCAAGCAAAAATGTACGGCCCGAACGGGGGACCCGAGCGAAGCCGAACCTAGCCGAGCGCGAGTGGTGCCGCGCTTCGGGTGTTTCCGGCCACGGCCACCCCCTATCCGGCCAGGGACACTGGCACCAAATTCAAATTGTGCTTCATGAGAACTGGTGATTTTGGGCGTTGAAAGGCAGTGAACGCATTAAGTCTAGTTTAGTCAACTTTTAATTGCTTAAGAGACAAGGAAATTGAGGAAAGTACAAAAAGGAATCAATTTATCATGAGGGCTTGTGAAGACAAGACACGAATTTTGTACTTCAATAACTGGGATAACAACAGTAACCCCATCACCACTGGAAATGTTCGCGATTGGGCACGTCTTCTGTTAGCCAGGAGGCCACTGCAGCTGCCTTCCACCCAACACATGGATGTGGAGGTGGAACACAGACTGGGCTCCGTCTTTCCCGTTGTTGATAACTGCAATTGAATGCCAACACCCTTTTAGCTCATCACGGGGCAAATATAAAAGTTAAAAAAATTGGGAAAAAGAGTAACTTACCTAGGCGGAAACCATTTCCAAGTCGTTCACGACCCAGCTTGGAGGCCGTAAACAGCAGATGACCAAGAATCTGAGATAGAGTTGGATTTAGTTTGGTGAAAAACACAATTTACAACATTTAAAAATAGTTTACAACATACATCTTTGTCAGCTGGTTCAACATCGTCCAACATGGCAATGCGCCTCTTTGGTATCACCAGAAAATGAGTCGGAGCCTGAGGACTGATGTCATTGAAGGCCAGGCACTGGTCATCTTCATAAATGATATCAGCAGGAATTTCTTTAGCAATGATTTTGTCAAAAATAGTTGGCTGGCTCTTTGCAGATGCCGCAGCACTCCTTGCCTTGTCCACCTCCGACGCCATACTCCTGGCCTGTGACAACAGAAGCACATTGAATTAGTTACTAGAAAACCAATGACAACTGCAGTAACAAATACACTGTTGTTGTATTTTCGAAACATCCACGGAGGATTACCGGGGGGAGACAAGTAGACGCAGTTGATACCACTTTCAAGATGGATTGAAAGGGGCGAAGAGAACGTAATATAGTTGGTGCCAAAAGTGCCATGATGTATCAGGCACAGTTGAGGCTTTAAATCAAGAAAAGAGCATGAAGACAATCTAACATACCTACAGCAACTACTTGCTAAACCTGTCGGCGAAATCCCGGTCTCTGTTCTGAAGATTAGGGTCCAGGCCAGGTTATGGGCAGGGGCAGGGGCAGGGGGGCAGGGAAGGGTGGGCACGCAGCTGACTGTACTAAAAAAACAAAACGACACAAAACAAAACTGCTGACAACAGACTTGTAACGTGACAAAAACATTGTCAGCCACCTTTGATATTTTTATAAGAACCATAAGACACGACTGATCCAGCTTTAACTTAATAACTCACGTAAATAAAACTAGGGAAGAGTTTAAAAAGACACCATGATGTTTCAAACTGAAAGTAGAAAGTGCTAGAAGGCCAGACTGACAAGTGCTGCGCTCTGCTCGGCGAATTTGCGAAGTTGTCGTTTATCGTGGCTCTGTGGTGTTTATGGAGAAATTTAGAAAACCTGATTGTTTTTGGTTTTAGGTGTTGATTCAAAAGCACTTCTGTGTATCAAAGCGCTCTACCATGATAGTGCCTAATCCAGAGGCATTAAAAACTTGGTTAGCCAGGGTGCTGGAACCATTGTAAGTAGGGCATTTATCCGTCTGTGGGGGCACACAGCCTAGGCTTAGTGGGGGTACCGATAGATTTAATTATTACTTTTTGCTCAATGGAATGAACAGTTTGCAAATTTTGCATTATCGGCTTCTTTAGCCTCCACCTACTCGTAGATTCTCGCACAGCTTCTTGTCAATTTCTTGGCTCGTTTCAGTCAGCTGGAAGTACAACCTGGCACGTCCGTATTTACGTTTGCACTCGCAGGTGTACTAATTTATTATTGATGCACCTCGCGCCTTCGTCCCTTTGTCCAGTCACTTTCATCCGATGATTGAACAATGACCGAAGCACAAATTATCCACCGCTGTTGCTAACGACCCCCACGTCTAAACGTACTCTACTTGATTGGCAACGCTTGCATTGATTACCAGGCATTCGGCTATTTTGCTTATTCATTTTAAATTGATATTCGACCATGTATCCTCGCTCTGTTTCAAAATATTAGAAAAACTTATCTAGTTACTTCAAGCCGTACGTAATAAGTGCATTTTGCGAACGTCAACACTCCATAACCTCTAAATTTTTTCTTACAAGTTATTCAGTTATCCTTGTAACTTCTCCTTTGATTAACAACTTGATTTTCTTGCATCTTCATCAACTTAACTTAATCCCTCTTATTTTGAATATTTATTTGTATTTTGTACAGGTGCGATGCAGATCCCGCAGCTCTTGCCAAATATGTATTTGCTCTGGTCAAGAAAGACAAACCCTTGCAGGAGCTCAAGGACAGTATGGTTGAGCAATTAGAAGTCTTCCTGCAAAGTGGTATGGTTCTTTTCATTATGATTTTTTTTGCTGTATTTTCTATTGTTTGGTGTAAATTAATTTTGGGCATCTATCACAGAGACAAAGCGATTCGTGGCATTGCTCTTCCTTGTTTTGGAGAAAGATGACTACACTCTGCCAGTACCAACAACACTCTCTCAATTGGCATCTGGCGAGAGTCCTTCATCCACAACCGAGGTGGATGTGAAAGTCAAGCAGGAAGTCAAGATCAAGCAGGAGCCACTTTCAACACCTACGGTTGCTCCAGCATTAGAACCTCAACCCAAAGTAGCACCTACTCCTCAGGTACACACACGCTTCCTCTGTCAACCTTTTTATCCTCAAATTGAGGTGCTCAATAAACTTTGTATTTTTCATTTTTTTTTTTTCAGAGTACAAGTCAACCCACAGTTTCTAGTAGTACATCTGCCAGTGCCAACTCAGCTAGTGCAACACCAAGCAGCTCCACTGTTGCTGTTGCTAGTGTTGTCCAGGTCAATGGAACTACAGCAAATTCTGCACCTGCAGCAGGCTACAGTGGCAGATCTTCTCACAGGAAATCGGACTCTGTATGCAATGTCTCCTCTCTGAGTTGATCTATTTTCCCTCATTAATCCTTGTACTGATTGCCTGACTGTTTCTTTCCCAGGACCGAGACGAGAAAAACCGCTCGGCTAGGTCAACACGTCACTCCTCTCCGCCCAGGAATAGATCACGCTCCCGCTCATGGGATAGATCAAGGCGGTCGCGCAGCCGGGACAAGGACCGGGACAGGCTGCGCGAGCGCGACCGCAGCCGCTGGCGGAACAAGTCCCCGCCCGCGCGAAGATACGACCGCGATAGAAGGTACCATTATCGATTTAACGCACCTGTGTCCCATATTCGCTACTGGCGACTGCAACTGAAGAATTTCTCATTTCAGGAGAAGCTGGTCGAGGACGAGAGGGGGCTCGCGTTCAAGATCAAGGTCTCCTCGCCATGGGTCAGGATTTAGAAGTAGGTATCGCCGTTCTCCTCACGGTAGAGTTTCATTGTCTCGCTCCAGATCACACTCGAACGGTAAGGGCTGTTTTTGGCGCTTTACATTCTGCTTATTGTTTCTGATGCTGATCCTAAGCCTATATCTATTTCCAGAACGCAAGAAAGAACCATTATCTGGTACAGCAACACCAACGCAAGACAGTAACCATGGAGATTCGGACCGTGTTATTCCTCCATCTCAAAGTATTCAAAGTGTTGTTAGCCAAGTGCCAAAGCGGCGATGTCGGGACTTCGATGGTAGGCCTTAGGATCGAACTTAGGCAGATATTTGTTCCCACTGGTATTCCATTGAAATTCCACTGACTATTATTTTGCTCCGGCATCATTTACAGAAAAGGGATACTGCATGCGAGGAGACTTGTGTCCCTATGATCATGGATCTGATCCAGTTGTGTTGGAGGACGTGTCCCTGTCACGAGTTCTTCCATATGAGGGTGGACCGGCCCAACCTGGTGCAGGCCCACCAGGCTCAGGCGTTCCAAACGACATTGGTGGACTTCAAAGTACAATTGCCGTGGCTCCTTCGGGTCCCGGTGTCATGGGTGGAGCCCAACCCCCACCATCTATGGTTCAAATGACTGGCCACATGCCTCCATTCCACCACACCAGGTTCCCTCCTCCTCCTCCCGTGCCAGCAGCCATGGGTATGAAGAAAATTAGCACCGCCGATGTTACTGTATACTCTCTCCGAAAAGCAGTGTCTGATCATTCTCTGAATTTTCTTTATGTTTTAGAGTACAACCCAGATGCTCCAAGCATGGAGCCTCGAATGACTTGGAATAGGATGCCACCAAGGGGAGGACCTGGTAAAGCAATTGGAGTAAAATATTACGCTTTTACATATTGACTTGATCACAACTAAATTGTTTGATTTTGTGATTTCAAGGTAACCGCGGTCGTATGGTTCGCGGTCCTCTTCCTCCTCAAAATATGTACAATCCGGTCGGTCAACAACAAACTCGGGAGCTTGTCTCTGTGCCTCTCAACGACCATTCTGGGCCAATGATGGGTCACCACCCTGGAGGTGGTATGGGTTTCAAGAGACCCATGCATCAAGACAACAATCAAAACTACCCAATGCATGGAGAGGTGAGTGTATGCCCTCCTCCTTTTTCTCATGGAATGTTTCTAATAGATTGCAAATCACCCTATGTGCAAATCATAGGGCCATTACACTGTTGTGTTATAAACACTTAAAATCAAGGTACCTAAATCTTTTAAATAAATTGTGTCTACTAAACCTTTTAATTTATTATTATTTGCAGACTCTGGCTTTAGATGGACACTCGCCCCTCAAGAGGCGTCATGGCTTTGACTATGGTCGATTAGGCCCAGCTGGAACAAGAATGAAACACAACCAAGGAAACTGTTCGTTGGATGTGAAGAAAATTCCTCGCAATATGAACAACATTACTCATTTGAATAATCACTTTACAAAGTTTGGAAAAATTGTCAACATCCAAGTTCAGTTTGAAGGAGATCCTGAAGCAGCTCTTGTCACATTTTCCTCTCATGCTGAAGCTAATGCTGCTTATCGGAGCACTGAAGCTGTGTTAAACAACCGCTTCATCAAAGTGTTTTGGCACAATAACAACAATGGTGCTGTTGGCCATGAGGTATGTGGAGAATTAGGAAACCCTCTGTATTCCATGAGTTGATTTATATGCCTAAATATTTTATTGATGCACTTTTTATTTCTATTTTTGGTCTTTAAATTAGGCTAAGCAAGAGAATCTACCTCCCATGAAGCCTTCTGTTAAGGACAGATTAGGAGCCCAAGTGCCACCCATGCAAGTGAAAGTTATGAATGCCAAGGTAGCCCCTCAACTTACTGAGGAAGAGATAGAGGAGGTGAGAAATTGTTTATTATCATATCTGCATGAAATAGTCCACACTTTTATACACCACATGTACTTGTTATGTAATGTTTAACAAAGGCAAGACTCGGTTCTGGTTTGTGTTACCTCAAGATGTATATTACTTCAAAATGCCAAGCATGTTTTGAGAGAAAGTTTAATAATGGTCTTCTTACATGCTTGTACTATTTGAATAAATAAGAAACAGGAAAAAAATATAATAATATAAAAACACCATAAGGGTAATTTTGCAAGGGGCAACGCAAGTTAAGATAGCTTCATTCAGAATGAAGCATTAAACCTAAAGAAATCAGTGTACATTAGACTACAAACGTCCCTTTTACTAAGTTGAGTGTTGTGTTTGCAGCAAGTCATGATGTCTGGCAACAGCCTCACCAAGACATTGTACATCAAGAAGGAGGTGACTCCTGCCCCAGTGCTAGCTACTCATGTTAACAAGGCGCAAGCTGTCGCCCAGGCACAAGCCCAGGTGGGTGTGCTGCCATACTCAGCATACTCTTTTATTAGAATTGATTCCCCTTCCTGTGGCTGTCTTTCTCTTGTGCCAGTTTCAAAGATTTTGTTTGTAAATGTAGTTACTCTTTTATTTTGCCAAATTTTTGTTTCCTTGCGCCTGAAGCTCACTAATTCTAGCTTTTGTCCAAGTAGAAAAGCCCTATTGTTTAAGGGTTTTGGGGTCTGAGTCCTTCCAAGGTAGTGCATTGAAATGCAGAAGTTGTTTTGATCTTTCTTCAATCTCATTATTAGAGCTTTTGGGGTGCTATGGTTGTGACAAAGTATGATGGAATCTTGAAACCAATACTTTTTAAGGTTGAAGTGCATGTCTCTTTTAGTTTTTAACTTGTAAGTGCCTGTCTGGTTGATAATTGTGATCCTTCTCATGTGTATTTGTGTAGTATTGAATACTGAACAAGTTATGAAGAAGACAAAAATTCACTCACTTTCTGATCTGCACTATCATACCACATGAATTAGAGGATTTGATTTGAACAAGCATGAGCATGTCTTTTATTGTTTAGTTATCAGCATGTTGTTGTGTAGTTCATAGTCGTGGCCTGATAATTATTATGTAAAACATCTGTTTGTGTTTAGTAATTTGTACTTTAACATTGTTTTTGTAATGTTTATCTTATCAAAAACTATTTTGGTTTCAGCAAGCGGCGGCTGCAGCGGCTATGAAAGCTAAATTACAGGAGGTGGCCGTTGCTAAACAAAATTTGAAGAAGAAACAGGAAGAGAAACGCCGTGAAGCCCTTCAAATAACTGCTGATTTAAGAAAACGTAAACAAGACCTGTTAGAAAAACAGCTGGATCAACAAAAGCAGCTTATCCAAAGACTTGAAAAACAGGATATAACTAAAGAACAGCGCCAAGATGTAATGACTACAATTAAGTCCCTACAAGAAAGTGTTGAAAAAATCCGCAAAGATTTGGCAGCAGTTGTAGGGAACACAAATAACAATGTTAAAGTTCCTTCTCTGAAAACGGCTAAACCTCCTCCGGTAGCAAAGGCTCCTACCCCAAACCTAGTCAAGAAAACAATAGAGGAGGTAACCAATCATGCTTCAAATCTTAAAATTGATTTGCCAGGTGGTTATCCCTAACCCACTGAATTCAACACCTTTCACTTTTCAGGCACAAAGAGAAATTTTGGATGCTGAGCTTGATATCATAGCCAAACAGCAAGAAGGTGAGGATGTTGCAGAACTACAACGGAAAGTTGTCATCCTGAAGATGGAAGCAGCTAACCAGGCAATTGTTCAATCTCCCAATAAACCTATGCGCGGGTCGCTCCGAACTGTCCGTGGACGAGGTGTACCTCGTCCTTTGGCCACCCGCAATCCAGCTTTGTATCGCACTGGGTAAGTTCTTACTTATGTTCTTGTATTTTTTCTTCTTTTTGAACTTAATTTACAATGCTGGCATTGTATACCTGCTCCTGTTTACATTGCCTCTTGATGATAATTTTTGCACTTGTTGTTGTAGGGTGCGGCGAGGTGGTTTCACCGGTCATAGTGTAGATCACAGGCCATCCAAAATCCTCGTGTCAGGCTATGAAGAGGATGATAAAGTCGATGTCTTGGCCCATTTTGCAGTGAGTTGATTTCTAGCTATGAAGAATTTGTGTGCTTTTTTCTTTGGAGGAAAATACTAACAAGGTTTTGCTGTTATAACTTTGCAGCAATATGGACAGATTGTTGATCATGAAAGTGATGATGCCATCCCATCCTTAGTCCTTAATTATAAGTCCAGGAAAGAAGCAGAGCTGGCAATGACAAAAGGTAGAAACTTTGGGGATAGGCTGCTGTCCATTACCTGGCATGCTAGTGTGCCAAGGCCTGGTCGGAGTGCACATCCTCATCTTTTGTCGACTGTTCATCTCAACTCTCATCGGAGACAAGTTATGATGGTGGGCGAATCAGGAGAGCTCATTGACGATGGAGAAGGTGCTGCTGAAGATGAGGAAGAGGTGGGTCACCTTTTCCAGCAGTGAACTTAGATTAAGTATTGTCCTTGCCTTTTGATTGCACTTTTCTCTTGTCCTTCAGCTCGTTGGTTTGGATCTTGAACCCAGTGAAGAAGCGTTGCTGCTTGATGACGAGGAAGACGATGAAGACGGTGAAGACCGCAGTTGGCGTCGATAACTGTGTGCTTTCACTGCTCAGCTGGCTCAATCAGAAGCTGAGCACAGTATCTACCCTTAACATCACTTCCAGCAAGTTACTTTTGTTTGTCTTTTATTTTTCTCACATGAATTTTTAAACAACTTCACTGAACATATGTTGACTCACATTCACCTCTATAAATTACTTAAAATGTACTCTGTTTACATTATCTCACAAACATCTTCATTTCTATATTAATCAATTCCCCCTCCCATTATCTCCCCTTTATTAGTCCTTAATGGATTTTTTTTTTTACATTAAATCATTGTGAAGATTTTTTTTGTTTTGTTGATTTTTCTGTTTTTACTATGAAAATGACAGTAGTAATCTTGTGATAACTTGGTTGCATTGTTTGCTGGAAGTGTGTTTTGGCCAAGACTGATATGTGTGTATTAATACATCAACCATGGGTATGCCAGAAGGCACCACTCTCAGGCCACATAGTGTATGGCAAGTTCTTAACTTGATTGGTAGTCACTTTCTATTTGCTTGCCTCTGCTTTCTCTGGAACAGCGGATGACTCTTGACATGCTGAGCATGCCATGCAACCATGTATATTAAGTGATTTGTTGCTTTGTTTTTAAGTACTGAAATTCTGTATTCTTTGTAGGTATGTATATTATCTGAACAAGTGTTTGTTGTGCTATTGTGTTTACTACTTTTTTGCTGCATGAGGAGAAAAGTGAATGTTATATTGTTTTCTCCTTTTACAATGGTGTGCAGTATGTAAGGTTGTATAATAATAAATACCACCACTGGGAAAAACCATGCATGTTCTTTTCACCATGTTAGAAAGCGTTTTTAATGCTTTCCCACTGTGATTGGTTTTCCTTTTTTTTTTCATTAGTTTTAGTAAAGTCCATAACTACATTCTGGAGTATGTGGCTTGACAAGAGGACAGATAGTTTTAAAATCATCTCACTTTGTCAGTGAAGCAATAAGGGTAAATCTGTGTGACATGAACGATTTTAAATGCTGGCATTTGCAGTTGAATCAACCTAGTTTTTTATGTTTTTCTTCTGTGATGTCATATCAAGGCCGCATGTATCAATTCATGAAATTTGGTATTTTGGTTGTGCTTTAAACACAAATATGCACCCATGAGAAGACTCTGTATCATAAATAATATCTAAGCCAATCACATTTTGTGGGGGGGTGAAAGTCTCATTCTAAATTTGACCATTCAATCATGAATTTGTACCTATAATGGAAGTCACTGCCTCATCTAAGTTAGTACAAATTATTTCTGTAATGTTCTCTAGTGCTCCTTGTTTGAACCTAAGACATACTATCATTTGGCTTGTACCAATTTTTTTGTTCTTGCTACACAATATATGCATAGCCAAACAAACAGCTCAGCTGCATAACAACAATTTATAAAGTATTTGAATTGATATGATTTTACCTCTTATCTGGAGTTCACAAGGTTTTATCCCAACACCATATTTTATTAGACTTGAACAACTTTTTTCTCCTTTTTCGTTTGTTTGTGTGAGTTACATATTCTTTGCCTTTCCTCATAAAATTATAATTGCAAGGATAACTTGATGTTGCTGATCGATCTGCTTTGTTTCTCCTCTTCTATTTAAATTTCAGAGTGTTGTTTAAAGTGTGTAAGATAATGAAGTGTACCTGCTTTAAGTTAAATGGCCAAATGGGCATTGAGTAGATTCTCTTCATGCAGTTTTGACGTTTTTCTTTCATTTTTTTGTCTCAAATAACTGGTGAGTAGAACACTGTGCACTATTGAACAAAACAAATTTGAAAATGTCTGTTCTTCCAGTAGATGTCATTTGGGTATTTCGTATATTGTAAACCATTTCTACACAATTTTTTCAATCCTTTTCATGGAGACAGTGTTCCTACAGTTGCATTGTTATAAAGACATAATTTTTATAACAGTTAAATTTTTGAAACTTATTAACTCCACTGATATTTTATCCAGTGGTGTTGGGACTTAGCCGGGCTTAAAAGGGACCATAAAACTCATAAAGCTTGATTTAGTATAAATAGGGATAAATTTTTCAAGGCGCTGTTACATTTTGTCATTATGATATGATGTTATAGACACAAATCTTGTTATCTCATATTCTCATTTTTAACTGCGTTTTACTTTGCACAGGTGGCTTTTTTCACTTGTGATGGGGTTGGTGGCCTTAAAGGTAATAATTGTGTATAGGAAAAGTATACCAATGGTTTTGAAGCACAGGTCCTACTTAATTAATAATAACTTTTCCTCACTGTTGCGCTCACCATGTGTTCTGTTGTATCTTTCACCGTGGGTCATGAATTGTTCTTTTGAAGTCAGGAGTCAATTTTCAGGGATAACCTCACACCAATGAACTGTGCCTGTTTATTCTCTTTGTACGCTTATTGAAATTTATTGAGCATAATTTTTATCTCAAAAGATGCCATAATCAAAAGATTTTTAAAAATGGATGAGAAAGATGAAAAAGAAAAAAAAAGAAAGGAAGTGGGTGAAGTCCTGCCGAGTACCTGCGCAAGTTTGAGGCTTTCAAGTTTCTTGAGAGACAAATTAAAAAGTGAGTGGTGTGTTATGTCACTCAAAAAGCCTACCATATATCATGTGTTTTCAATGTCCTTTACTTTAGTTCTTCCTCCCCAACAAGTACATCATGGCAGATCAAAGGAAACATTCAACATTACATCTTTTTAGTATGTATTCGTTTATTTACTCAAGGAGTATCACATGATAGGAGTACAAGACAGCTTTTTTTGTTGGTGTTCAGTTTCTATGACAAACGGAAACTTCGAAATACTCAAAGCATTAGATTCAGTTCAGCAATGAGTATTAGTTTAAATCACAGCCACAATAAAATCAAATACCAACAATACAGAAAAATAATTCCAGATTCAGAAAGTGGTGCGCATTCTTTTAAAGTAACTGTTACCAATGCATCCAGTCTATTTTCCTCAAATGAAGAAAAGGGGAACAAGTGATAGAGTACAAACACACCATGTGGCATACACAAGAACTTTTAAGAATCTGTCATATCCATAATACATAGAAAAATACAACTTGAAATCGCCAGATGCACACAGAATTCTGAGAATCAAGACAGGAAATTTCAGGAAGTTGAGAGTTGAGGAAATACTGTCTAGAAGAACCTAAAACTAGCTGATAAGTTGTCAAATCAGCCTTAGAAAGATCATAAATATGGAATATTTGGAAAAATAGGGTCAAGTCCTACACTAAACTACACTAACTACCCAAAGATAGTCATGGATCAATCCAGTTGCTTTTAAAAGAAATAGGTGATGGCCAAGGGTTGGCAAAAGGAACCATATGTAGTACCAACTAATACAAATGGAATAGTTAAGCCAAGCCACATCATAAAAAATATCACATGAATGGAAAGTTGGAAGCTAAACAATTTAGGTTGACCAAAAGGTTTGGTCAGGTCAATTAAGACTACAGGTAACGTCTCGCACCCAGGCTCATAAATTCATTGCTGCCATCAACATTGCAGCCGTCACAGTGACAGACAGAATTTCATTGAATCACAAGCAACTAAAAAATTATTTTACTCCAGGCATTAAAAATAAAAATTGCAGGAGGTTTCATGAAAAACACTAGGCATTGCAATATCTTAAACATATTTAACTTGCAGTTAGTTAAGAACACATGCAAAGTCTGCTCTAATTCATTAATAGAAAACCCTGTTGTCTTTTACCAGCAAACATAGATTCTTTTTCCTTTTTTTTACCACCGCTCTTGAAACAAATTACTGTTTAGGCTTCCAAAACTGTCATGAGTTGCTAGCGGCGCAAGGCCGCGTAGTTTGGGTCAGTGACATGTTTCAGTCATATCAACAACAACTGTGCGTTTCCAACCGAACATAAAGTATCCTGTTGCAGAACCCAGAATGACAGCTAAGCACAACCAGATATTGTATGTCATAAAAATCAGCATGAGAAGGTAGCTCACAATCAGCTGCACTATGTGTAAGCCAGTTTGCAACACATGTTTCTGGCTAAACATCCTGGGCCTGAAATAGAAAAAAATTAATCAGACACATTTAACAAAGCTCATAAGAAGAGTTTTGAATCTAAATATAATGTACTGAGAAGTTGTGCTACTAAAAGTTGTGCTAAAACAAAGTTTTTACCAAAAGACTAACATCTCTACAACAAGAAAAAAGGAGGTTCGAGTGTTGAGAAATAATTCATGCAAACAGAGAAGGTTTTAGAATTTAGAACTGGTGTGACTTGCAAGTCAATGAACAATCATTAACCATGCATTAATTAACTAGAAAAATATAAATGAACAATCATGCTTGAATATTTAAAATTATTGATTTCAGTCACAAACTTACGAATCTTTGCGAATAACTTCTCGGACAACACTGAAATTTAGAAACACGTTTAAAGTGTCAAAAATATGAGATTAACTGCTGCCTTGGTTCTACTTTCTATAAAGGTATCCTTAGAAGCAAATAAAAAATGAGAGAATTACTTACGGTTTATGATTCTCTGCATCTGGAACAGCATTATCGTTCACTGCTCTGTAGTGCAGTGAATTGTAGGTCCTCCATAACAGGTTTTCTCTAATGAACCATTAACATAGATACATTCAGAACACAAATAAAATTTAAAGCAACGGCAAGTTAAATTAAACACTTGAAAATGTGACATACCTGTAATATTTAATGCCCTCGTATATGACAGCCATGAAGAAAATTCCAACACATGATAATACCATTGTGGATACCCTGTCAACTTGCCATTCATTGAACAGAACTTTCTCCATTACTCCAAAATGAAACTAGAATAAAAAGAAACAATACAATAAAAATAAGACCTTTTTTTTTAAATTTTATAAAAACCCTTGAATTTTAAAGTTTATTGAACTCGTACCGTCATTGACATAGACATAGAGGAGTGATCCATAGTTGAATGATCCATCATAGAATGGTCCATTGTGGAATGGTCCATGCCTAGATGGGCTGAGTGGTCCATGGCTGAGTGGTCCATGGCTAGATGGGCTGAGTGGTCCATGGCTGAATGGTCCATGGCTGAGTGGTTCATGGTTGAGTGGTCCATGGCTGAGTGATCCATAGCCGAGTGATTCATGGCTGAATGATCCATTCCCATATGGGCTGAATGGTCCATCTGCAAACCAAATTAGAAAATTGAAAGTTAAAGAAGAACAATTAAACAACGGAAAAGGGTGTCATCCAACGCACCATGGAGTGGTCCATCTTAACACAGCAGGCCACAGCTCACCTCTGAAAAAATAAAGAAAATTCAATTAGGACAAGAAAAGACAAGGACTCCTAGAATCTCCTTTCGCCCTTCGTCTTTTTGGTGACCGAAGGGGCCGATGGGGAAAGGGCTGCTGGGGGCGCGGCCGAAGGGCCAGAGTAGAACAGCGCTGCGCTCCCCCCTCCCCTCAAGGGGCCTAGGCAGCCTAGGCCCTGGCCGCCCCGTTTCCACACCACTGTGCGCCGTCGCCATGCCACCGCCGCCGTGCCACCTGCCGCAGAGCGACGCGCCGCCTGCAGACTGATTCCGAGTGGGAAGTCTCTCTCTCGCGCTCATGGGGCGCTCCGCACCGGCGCGAGAGAGACAGACCGACGGAATCAGTGTACCGCTCCACGTGCGGCGTGACGGTGCTGCTAAAGAGCCCGCCCTGAGACAACAGAACAGATGCACCATATGTTTGCCCTTCACAAGTGCGGCCAAAACCCACGAATCACATCAAGCGCTGTGACACAACATGACCCGAATGCAAGCGTCCTGTCCCTGTTCATTCTTAGCGCCACGAGAGGCGCTAAGTCCATTAACGGAGTCGGACGGCACGGCGGGCCAAAAGTGGCACCCGTAGTTCTCACAGAGGGACGCCAGGCTGCGCCAGGCGGGTGGCGATGCCCACCATGCGAGGGCGGAAGCTCATTGCATCAGCGAAATAGGAGGGAACGGCCACCGCGGCGGAAACGCCGCCCACTGTCCAAAAGCTGGAGGCGCCTTTTTCAGCGCGGGCAGCAGTAGCCGCCCAGGACGCCGCCCACTCACGCCAGCGCCCTGGAGCCCCCGAGTGCTCGAGGGCACTGCAGGGGTACGGGGGCGTGTCGGCTGGTCGCCATGGCGACGGCACCACGCCGACGTGCGTTCCAGGCAGTCCCAGGCTGGAGCTGGGCAAGGGGGTTCGCGCCGGAATGCTGGGGGTGCGTTCGAAAACACCGCCTTCCTCGACGCCACCACCACCGAGTCAGTCGGCGCGACAGCGGCATGCGGTTCACACAGGCCGCCGTTTTCGAACGCACCCATCCACAGACCACCGCCGACGCCTCTGCGGAGAGCGGCTGGCCGATTTCTGCCCCGCCTCCGCCTGAGGCGACCCGAAGCGGGGATCCGGAACTGGCCCGGAACAGGCTGGAACGCAGGGCAGGAAGTAAGGAAACCTTTTGCTACATCGCAACCCTCTGAACGCCCCCCTGGTCCACCCTTGAATTCATCAGGATTCGACGTAAAATCCCTAGACAATCGACTACCCGGAACCGAATTAGGGTTCCGGACCCCTGCTGGCCTGAAGGGCCTAAATGACCCACTAAAGGGCCTCAAGGCGAGGGGCGCGCCGCGGGCCAGACCGCGCCGGACTGCAGACTGCCGCAGACTGTGGCTGCGTCGCTGCGTCGTCACTCGGCTCGTCCAAACACGAGATAGCGGTAGGCGTTTTGCCTTGCCGGGCGCACTGCACTCGCTCAAGGTGATTGTAGTGGCGCCCTTCGGCCGGCCGGCCGGGCCAAGCTTGGCCTGGCTTGGCCCGGCTTGGCCGCGGCCTCCTTGTGCCACTCATCGTGGGCCCTCGCGGCTAATTCTCGCTTCGCGCTCCGCGTCGGAAGCGCGCTCGCCTCACTCGCAGTGCAGCGGACTGCGTCACGGCGCCATTCAGCTCATCGCCATTCAGCGTCGCGTGTACTTCAGGACGCACTTCAGGACGCACTTCACCTACTGGGGCGTCCAGCTCGAACCACACATCGCGCGATAGTCCACGGCGTGGCGCGGTGTTTGGCGCGATGTCGCGTGTTTGGCGCGTGCCAGCACCTCCCCCCCCCCTTTCCGCCCAGCTTTCCCATACCCGATTCCCACAGGTGGCCGGCCCCATCTGTATGTTCTTCTGCATGGATGAGCCGCGCTGTGACATACACAACACACCACCTGTAGTATCCCTCTCGAGCAGGGGGCCAGCAAAAAACGGGGTGGGGCTGGGGGTGGAGCAGAGGGCGGAAGGGGGCAGAGGGGGCGGAGGGGGTGGGGGGGGAAGGGGGGGAAGGAGCAGGGGGCTGACGAAATGAATGAACGCAGCCCGTCAGCGCGGCCGCTGCAGGTGCCCAGTAGTGCGGCTTGCGGCCCGTGCGGCCCGTCCGAAATAGCCGCGTGTCCTCGACTCCTCATGCCTCGTCAGCGCGACGCAGCGCGACGCAGCGGCGGGGCGGGACGCGGCGGGGCGCAGCGCGACGCGCCGATCAGGGGAAACACCTGCGGCGCCGCGACGCTGCTGTCAGCCACCGCCAGCCGTCCAATCGCTCGGGCGCATCCGGGCATCCGGACGGCTAAGTGCCGCCTCGGAATCCGAGCGGATGTCTTAGTTTCAGTCCCACTGTTAAAAATTCCGTACTTTTTTCTGTAAGATGTCAATTTGAACAACTTCGAAACTTCACACCGACCCCCAGACAAAAGAACGTAAAACCGAGGCCTTCCCTCGAACCCCAAGGCAGCGCGGCGCGGCGCCACTATAACCGTGGAGCGCCGGGACTGCCAGGCCGCCGCCACAAAAGCGTGGCCTCATCTTTGGCCCACCCAGCAATGCCGCATTTCAATTATTTATTTTTTTCAGAGCCGTCCCGTCACCTCTGCACTGACCCCTGGCGATAAGCGGCGCCAAAAAGAGACGAATAGGGACGGGCCCGTAATAATAAACGCGATTAAGGGAAACAAGGCAAAAACCGAAACGAATTTCACGCACAGTGAAGAGGCAAAGCGACGGAATAATAATGAATTGGCCAAGTCGCGTTGCTCCGCGTTGCTCGTCCTCCTTGTGCCGGCTGGCTACTCGGCCCTCGGGGCTCAGAGTCGCTTTCGTCGCTCTGTCTCTCTCACACTCATAGGCGTCCCGGAATGGTGCGAGAGAGACAGCGGCGAAAAGGACTCTCGGAACGCGGCGGAGCGGCGGAAAGGTCAGCCGGCCGGCCGGCAACATGCCGGCAACAGGGGCAAACGGCGGCAGCGGCTCGATAAGGCTCTTTCGGCAAGGGTGGCACTGTCTCTCTCACTACTGCGGCACGCTCCAAGAGTGCGAGAGAGACAGAGCGAGGAGTGCGGGCAGCGGAAGCACTCGGCAGGACACTGCTAAAGCTGGAGGCTGGAGCGCCTGGACGCTAGGCAGCCCGTGCGCACAGATGCCTCACTGCTGCCTAACGTCCAGGCGCTCCATCCCGCACCCTCGCTCTGTCTCTCTCGCACTCGTGGAGTGTGCCGCAGGTGCACTGTAAATGTCTTACGGTGAAAGGCTGCACCAACATTTTATGGTGGGGATTTTCTCCATGATACCAACAAAATATCTATAAGGTACAGTGAATTCCTCCATGGTATGTTACGAGGTCAGCTGCACCACCATAATATGGAACATTTTCACCAAAATAATGGAGAATCTTCCCTGTAGAACATTAAGAGTGTGTGCGAGAGAGACAGAGAGAGAGAGAGAGAGGAGTCACTCGGCTGGCGCTGGGGCCTCTAGATGAGTGTGCGAGAGAGACTGGCAACGAAACGCCACTGTTGTGGAATCAGCAGAGCGCAGCACAGCGATTCCGGATCCCGCACAACGCTTCCGTCGCTCCGTCTCTCTCGCACTCTGGGGGCGTCCGGTAAAGGTGCGAGAGAGACAGAGCGATGAGACGTTGTCCGCAGGGCTGGACTGCAGTTCCGGGCGAGGATGCTTGACAAACACACTGATACGCGGACAGTGTAGGGCTTGCTTGCGGCCGCTGTGACGAGACAGACCACGAGAGCGGCTGCTCCACGCGGATTCATTCCCCGGCCATGACACGCCGCGAGCCGCGTCTACGAGCGTCCAGTGGTCTGTGTGACGGGCTGTAATGGGCCACGCCTTGGGTCAGGCGGCCATCGACACATCGGTCGGCATGAATGGCTGCCCGGCGACGCCGCGGCGGCGGACCCGCACTAGAATCCAGCTCGTCGAGGAAACCAGCGGTCCCTGAGGAATGAAGACAGAACGCCCTCGGGCCCCTTTGGCTGCCTCTCTCGCACCCTTGCGGCGCCCCTTGAGCGCGAGAGAGGGACAGCGCCGAGAGCAGTGCTCGGAGTGCTCGGAATCGGCCTGCAGGCACGCGCCGCACGCGCCGCCCGCTTGAGCCTTTCACTCACACCGCAGGCACCGCCATGGCACCGCCTAGTCGGCTCGTGTTGTTTCGTTTCGCTCGCGGCGAGAGCGAGGCGAGGAACGAGGAGCGACGTCGACATACTGTAGGAGCAACGCCGCCCGCGTTCCGAGCGGTCCAGAAACGGGGCCCCGCTGCAGACCGAATCCGAGAGTCGTTTTCGTCGCTCTGTCTCTCTCGCACTCATGGGGCGTCCCGTGTAGGTGAGAGAGAGAATAGGTCACTGGCGAGCCTAGCGGCAAGCCGCGCGCCTCCAGCGCCCCATGCCGCCGCTGGAGGAAAATCAGTACAGTGCACCGCCGCGCTCAGTCAGTCTCTCTCGCACCCCCGCGGAACGCCCCCAGAGTGCGAGGGAGCGACGGAGCACGGACAGAAACAGGGCGACGTTATGATCCTTCGGACCCAGGCGGCGGAGCTTTATGCAACGCAAGAGAAAGGGCGCTGCAGCGTTCAAAGCCCTTTGGACAGGGCTTCGCGGGCAGAGGGGGAGGGGGAGGGGCAATTGTCCTCGACAGCGTGGCTGTAAAACGGCGCGCGCTTGATACGGCACGAGCCGCGGTAACGCCGCGCCGCCTCACCAGCCTTGCAACACGCGCTCCGAAGGCTCGTTTTCGATGCTCTGTCTCTGTCGCACTCGTGTGGCCTCCCGCAGGGCCTCCCGTAGGGCCGTAGGGGTGCGAGAGAGATGGAGCGATGAGACGGTTCTTCGGAATCGCTCAGCTGCATGAGGCATGGCTGCAGGGGCTGCAGGGGCTGCGGCGCTGGGGAAGTGCCACACGGTTCTTGAAACGCGTTCAAGTCGCCTCAGCTCATGCGACAAACAAGCCACGAAATGTTGGGAAGAGTCCGGATTACCTGGGCATCCATATGTTCAGTTCGTAAAGGGTTCGGGCTTCTTGCTCATCGCACTGAAGACTTGACAGTAACTTGCCGAGACCAGAAACCTTGTTGCTTTTATACCTAACGTTATAGACGTCTCCTCAGGAGCGTATTGGGGTACCCAAATCAAATGAAAACTGAGTTCATATCGCACGGCACCATTGGGTGTGTGCGGGGGTGGGTGGGAGGGAGGGGTGTCTTTCAATAACCTGTACGGCATTTACTATGAAACAGTTTAAAGCGTGACGATATAGCTGGCAGCTGGCTAGACATTCGTCCCTGACAGAAATCATGAATAATGGTAAAGATCTCCGGTTCGGGTTGAGAGGTTAGGTTGACGCTGCCAGTCAATGGTAGCAGCTTGAGCCTGATCTAAGTAAACGGCGCTCGGTCCGAAATCAATCAATTGTGGATAAACTATCAAAATCTCTCACCAAAAACGGCACGAACGCGAAGAAAGTGGAGTGGGCACGACCGGCTCGCGGCACGGCCAGCAGACGACTGACAGCTGACAGCAGCAGCAGACAGCAGAGCTCGACTGTGCGCGCACACACACACACACACATACAGGGCCAGGCAGAGATAGGCTTAAAACAGTTTAAAATAGCTCTTGCTCGAGTGATTTAATTCATTTGACATTTTTTTCAGCTCCTAGAAAGCGATTTCCTTCTTCAATTAAAGCGGAAAACACATTGAAGTTTTATAGTGGCCGTGATGCCGTGAACATCCGGTGACATCTCTGCTCCAAGTTTCGTTACTCTGTCTGTTGTAGTCTGCATGAGTAGTCACTTCTGAAAATGGCGGTGGACGTTGGTAAAAACATCAGCGGCTTTTTGAGCTCGAAACAAGTTGGAGCAAGCTCCGAAGTAGCTTCAGAATGGGCCGCCCTAGACGAATTGCATACCAAGAAGTGAGTTGTGATATTTTCTGTCCTATTGTCAAGAAAATAACCAATTCATTGACCGCCGGGAGGTGGCTGTCAGGCCAGCAACAATGAATCGAGGAAAATGTTTCTGTGACATAGGAACCTTCAGCTTTGTTTGTTTGCCTTGCCATGCTTAAAACCATCACCACTGAGTTCTTCTTGACCTTTGACTTGATTGTTGTGATTTTTTTGTGTCGCACAATCAACACTTTGTCATGCAGTACATAACCTGTGCTGAAGGTTATGGCTGTGTTTTGATTGATGTCACTTTTCACCATGGTTTCTGCAGTTTCTTTCATTTATTTCTCTGCTGCTGTGTTCTCCCCTTTTTATTACGAGCACCTAATGCTCATTGAGGCAGCTGACAGAAGTCAACAACTAGACTTCATTTTCATGCTCATTCATTGTTCTCCACAGGCTCTATCACCAGCTGACGCTGAAACTCATGACATTTGTCAAGCATCCTTCTTTGCAAGAAGGGGAACAATTGTTGGAGCTGTACAGTAAATTTATCATGTACATTGAAAACAAGTAAGTGTATTGCTGTTTCTGCTCGCTGTACTTTTCTTTCTCTCTTCAATACACTATGCGACTCTACCATTTGATTTGTTTTCCAGAATAAATCCTCTTTCCTTGGTGGAGATACTTGCCTTTGTTGTTCAGCAATACACAGACTGGAAGGAAGCTGTGTCATTCTTAGAGAAGATGGAAGTGAAGGTCAAGGGCTGTGAAGATGCTGTTATGCTTTGCAAGGTTCTGGCCGGTCAGATTCTTTTAGAAAAATTATCAGACACAGTTGCCACCAAGGTATGCTATGTTTCTTCTAATTTTTTGTTGTTTCTCTGCAGGATAAGTTTTCCGTGTCTTCATACTGCAATTTGTTTTGTATTTTCTAGAAAATCATTGATGATGTAGAGAAGGAACTGGATAAGAAGGATGGTGTTGGTCCAGTGCATGGACGCTTTTACCTGCTAGCCAGTAATTATTACCGTCAACAAGGGAAACATGCCGAGTATTACCGTACTGCGCTGCGGTATCTTGGATGTGTGAATCTGGATGATCTCTCCTTCAAGGAACAAATGCAGCATGCTTTCTTCCTCGGACTTGCAGCTTTACTCGGAGAGGGTGTTTACAACTTAGGAGAGCTTGTAAGTTGCCTCAATTGTAGGGCTCGTTTTCCATGATAGTCTTTTGCTGATCCCATGACCTAACATGTGCTTTCTGTTTAGCTTGCTCACCCTGTTCTTCAGAGTATGAAAAACACACCCAACAAATGGCTAGTAGATTTACTCCTTGCATTCAACTCTGGTGACATTGCCAAGTTCGATGAAATGAAACCAAAGTGGGCCAGTGTTCCTGATCTAGCCGCCCAAGAGTTGAAACTGCGCCAAAAAATTTCTTTGCTTTGTCTCATGGAGGTTTGTATTCATCTTGTGGCATACAGTAAATTTTGTTCACTGCTGGTCTTAAACTTTTATTATAATGTAATTTTTCACAGATGACCTTCAAAAGACCCTCTACCGACCGGCAACTCACATTTGAAGAAATTGCTGCAGAGACAAGGTTACCTGTCAATGAAGTTGAATTGCTTGTTATGAAAGCCCTAGCTCAGGGGTTAGTGAAGGGTGCAATTGATCAAGTTGACGGCCGCGTCCACATGACTTGGGTGCAACCACGTGTATTGGACAAACAGCAGGTAGATGGATCAATAATGGCACACATGAATTATTTGTCATTTGAAATCTAGTAACCACAGCAACCATGTTTTTGCCCCCTTACAGATTGCAACTATGGTGAAGAGATTAGATGTTTGGTGTAAAGATGTCAAAAATATGGAGCAACTTCTAGAGACTCAAGCACATGACTTTTTAACTTTGTAAAATCATGTGTTTCTGTGACTGACTAATTTTCCTCGATTTGATTCGAGCATAGCATCTTTCTAATCAGATTGTTACTTTGAGTGTCTTACATTTTGAAAAAAAAAGTTCATATTGTAATTTATTGTAGAATCCTTATATTAAACAAGGTTTTTGTAATTGAAGAGTTTAAATTCTGTCCAGAGACAGTTTTAATACCTTGACCAAACCCATCCAATTTTAATTATAAGTAAATTGTAAATATCATGATAATTCTTTGTGGGAAACGCTAATGACGGGTACCCGGCCAATGTCGTCCTTAGCCGGCTAAAGTCGTTCTTATCCAGGGTCCGGCCATCATCAGCCAACGAGTGCCGGATAAGGACGACCTAGCCGGCTACGGACCACATTAGCAGCCACTGCATGGTGAACAAAGTGAGACACATGTGGGGGAGGGGAGTCATTTATTTTTGCAGTTTCTATTGTTGTGGCATTTGCTCTCGCATAGTTGGTTCAGCCTTTTGCGTCCACATCGGTTTGTGTCGCAGTGCCCTGCACAGTTTCATTTTTGGAATCCTTGTCCCTCAAAGATGGATCCTTTTGTTGCCATTTTACGCAAAGCCTCTGATTTCTTCATTGATACATCTTGTACTCTCAGGAATCGGGACGGCCCTTGACTCTCCAGTTCCTGCCCCTCATCCGGTACTGGCACCTCGCCACTAAATTCGCTACTTGTTTCGCTCATGACTCCCCTCCTCCCGTTTTTCTAATGATTTTGAGTTGTTTTTAAATTTTTCTTTGGTTTCTAAATTTTTGCGCGCGACCGCGGTAACGGTTTGAACAATGCCACCCTATGCACCCGCCCGCCGGACACTTTAGCCACCCTCCTTTGGATATTGACTACCCTAGCGGGCTCGAGTTGTCCTTGTCCGCACAATTAGAATGGCATCCGACATTAACCACAAAACTGGATAAGGACGACGTTAGCCGTAACACTTACACTAATACTACAAATGAAATCCTTCCACTCTGGAGTGTTCCTTCATTTCAAGAAGTTTGGTTGAAAAACACAAAAATAAACATTTGTCTTGATACTTTTTTATTTTTCAAAACATACAAATTGGTACTTATGAAAGAAAAAAAAGGTCACTTGCATAAAACCTAAATTTGACTTGGTAACTTTGATAAGTCACAATTTCCAGACAAATGTAATCAACGCAAGCGCATAAGCTTGACCACTGGCCTTTGTACTTTACTTCCATTTTCACCGTGCTCTATTTTAATGAGATCCCTTATTTGATACATCTTGAGCAATTTGTTGTCTTCTGGTTGGGAGCTTTTATAGACAATGTCAATTAATGACATTGCCCAATCGGGCACCTTTTCGCAGCCAATCTCTATCTGGGTCCATGCCACCATTTGAAGGAAGTCAGATGTGTTGCAGGGTAAAGCCTAGAAATTAGAGAGATGCAAAACAAGATAAAAAGTCTTTTAAATTATAGGTTTGAAACTAGTCTCCAATAAAGCAGAAACTTAATTGTTTCTGATTATTTGGTCATAAATTAAATTTTAAACCTACAGCATTAGTAATCTTCTTAACTGGGATCACTGGCTCTACCATCTTCTTAACTCTGAGCACTGGTTCTGTCATCTTTTCTACCCTGATTACTGGTTCTGACATCTTAGCAACTCGAATTGCTGCTTCCGATGTCTTTTTAACTCTGATTACTGGTTCCGGCATCTTTTCAACTTGGATCACAGCTTCCGGCATCTTTTCAACTGGGATCACAGCTTCCGGCATCTTTTCAACTGGGATCACGACTTCTGGCATCTTATCAACTTGGATCACAGCTTCCGGCATCTTTTCAAGTTGGATCACAGCTTCCGGCATCTTTTCAAGTTGGATCACAGCTTCCGGCATCTTTTCAACTTGGACCACTGGTTTTGATATCTTTCCAACTTGGTAAGTTGGTTCTACCTTCTTTTGAACTCCAATCACTGGTTTTATCCAATCTAATCTCGAGAGGACGACTAATGGCCTCATCAATCCAGATCTGCATTCCTAAAAGAAAAAGTAATACCAGGTTTGTTAAAAGTTTGTAGGGAAGGCATCAAAGGCACAGGTTCTTTCCTTACTCTGACTCATTCCTCCTAAACTTGACATTTCAAGGATAAGTACCTTTGCTGAAATAGGTGAACCACAAGTGGTTTGAGTCTTTGGATCACCCAACTTCTCACATGTATCTAGCTGTGAATGGCGTTTGGAACTTGCACAAGCAATCATTTTATCTTTTGAGCCTTCTCGAGCTGATGGGGGTTTCCAAACCTACAAGAACATTTATTAAAACAAACATTAATATCACTACAATATCGAATAGAATAAAATGCAAGAGAGTTGTTATATCAAAATGAGTAGGTATACCACATATTTAGGACCTTAGACTCACTCACCTGGGCCTTTTCAGAGACCAAACATTTCAAGAAGGAATTAATGGCTCTATCAGTGCGCTTTTTAAGTAGGTCTTTTTTAACAATCCCTAACTGTTTGGGTGCAAAGCTCCGTGCCCTCTTGACTGAAGCAGGGCCAGGACAGTCTTCAGTGGGACTGAAAGTTGTTTTTTGTGACTTAAGGGTGGAAAGGGTATCCATACAAACTGCATTTGAAGTAGGAGTGGTCACTTTGCTATGTGTTCTTCTTATCAAATTTTTAACAGAAGAGTTATGCATTTCCTGCTGAAGAACCAGAGAAAAACAGTGAGATGTTGAGTTTAAAAGTTGATGAGTAAACCTTAACAGTCACTCAACATTACCTTTGAATCAATGAAGCATGGGGGTAATCTTTCTATTGACACAGTTGGGCCAACTGAAGATGTGCCATTTTTTTGAGCAAGTAACAACATACCAATCTGATCCATCTGTTTATAAAGGCAACCTAGTTGGTCAGTTTTGAATGATTTCCATTGCATTTGGAGGTTCTTTACAAAAGGCTTTACCCAAGAGGGTGAAGATTCATCAATGCCAAGATATGAATTCCAGTAGTCCATCCAGTCATCAATCGAAAGACTAATTTCTACAGTTGTATCAGATTTGGCTTCTGTTTCATCAGTATGCATGGCTGTCTCAGGAATTTCTGACTCATTTGATACATCTACCACATTATCAGAATCTGTTTTATCAGTTGTATTAGTCTGCTTCACTGCCTGAGTTATGGCAGAACTTTCCAATATTTTAACTTTTTTATTACAACAATCTCTCCATTTCATTCCTAGTTTCTCTTCTACTTCTCTCCCAAATTTGTTAGCCTCATCCTCAGTGAATGTTCCTTTAAAAATTCGACCTGCCACCTGCAAAAGATTTCAGGTTACTCATAATAATACTCAGGGTAAGAGAACTAAGTTTCACCTACCAATTAACTTACATAGGTACTCCACATGGACTCCCAATTATGCCAAACTGCGTGTCTCACAAATTTGGAAAAACCTTCAATCCGTTCTTTACAGAACTTACACTCATAAGACTTCAGTGTTCTGTGAAGCAAATCTAACTGCAGTGCATCCTCAGCCTAAATTTTAAAAGAGACAACAAAAATTACTGACACACAAGACAAGACAAAATTTGTAAATTATTACCAATATATGCAGCGAAACCTATTTACATTGAACCTCAAATGTTAAATTCATGCCTTAAAATAATTAGAAATTTTTTTAACTATTTTTTGGTGGTAGAGAAGAAAGGGGGAGGGGATGTAAACTAGAGAACTTTCCCAATTAGAGCATTGAAAAATTCGGTGTAAGTGAGTTCCCTTGCATACTTTTAACAGTTATCAAAATAAGTATCATAACACACCTCACGCTTAAATGCCAAATTAAGTCTGTGTATCATTTCATGAACCATCAGACTTTTTAGTCCCTGCAAGCTGTGGCCACAATTAGAACAAGGATATGTTCGTAGTTTTGAATGTTGTTCCTTCAAATGATTTTTGTATTCTCCTAAAGAGTTGAATCTTAAGAAACAGACTTTGCATATAAAGTCGTGGATATTCAAATGTCTTCTTAGAATGTCCTTATTCTTAAAGGTACAAGAGCATTTGCTACAATTGTATCTGTATGTTTTCTTGTGTTTCTCTGACATTGATTGGTACATATCCACATTGTGGCCAATCCACTCCATGCCATCATCCTGAAACATGAAAGAGAAAATATTTATAAGATAAATAACATTGCTACAATAAATTAAATGGTAAAATAAAATAAAAAGAAGTTGAGTACTGTTACCTCCTTGTTTGCCAAAGATAAGAGTTGAGGAGAATCACTAGTTACAGTAAGTTGATCTACACTATTCCCATTGAACAGTTCGGAAGCTCCAGGGCCAAAGACCACAGCCTCTGCAGAAGACTCAGAAGAGCCTTGACTGTTTCCTGCCTCAAAGCTTGAAGTCTTAGTTGCGTTAGTCTCTACAGCGGGCACTGAGGACGCAGTACTGTCTCCAGCATCAAAGCTGGAAGTCTTGGTTTGGGCAGTTTCTAGAGGAGACTCTGAGGATCCCCGACAGTCTTCAATCTCTTGACTCGAAGTCTTACTTGGAGCAATCTCTGAGTCTGAACATGATTCTGTGTCAGCAGTATCAGTGTCTGAGCAAGCCATTGTTGATGAATCTGCTGTCTGCATCAGAGCTTTAGAAATGGTTGAAGGGATTTGAGTTGTAGAGTCCGGGGGCACATTTGAATCATCATCTAAATCAATAGGGAAATAAACTGAACCGCTCAGATCTCTTGAATCATCTTGCATTAGTTGTATCTCACTAGGGAGATCGGAGGAGAAAGGACTGATTGCCACCTCTACAAATGCAGCAGCATTGAAGGGACTTCTTTCCTGATTGTGGAACTGAAGATGAGCTTTAAGATCTATTTCTCCTCTAATGTTAAGAGAACAATCCCCACAAGTAAACTGTTTGTGCTTTTGATTATAGTGGGAAGTAGCCTCTCCTGGTCTGTAAAGAATATTTGTTTTATCAATCAAAAAAGCAATTAAGAAAGCAGCATGTATCCTATGAACCTAGATACATACCTTCTGAATTTAAGGTTACATAATGTACATGCAACAACATGATTTTCTAGGTACATGTGTTTGATTAGCTCTGGATGTGTGTCAAATGGTGCTTTACACACAATACAGTTAAAGCGTGGAAGTCCATGAGCTTTAACTCTATGACTTCGATAGGTTTTTGTCTTGGTAAACTCCTGGAATCACACATTTATTTTAAAAAAATGTAATAATGACAACCCATAACAATATTAAACTAACTTTTTTTTTTAAAGGAACTGACCTTGTGGCAACCAGCAATAGGGCAAGTGAATGAAACGTCAAAAAACGTAACAGTTTGTTCACTGGGGTCCTGAGGCAAAACATCCATGGTGTTAGGCTGGTGGTAACCTGGACAATAATTTTCAAGCTATCAGAAACAGAATAATACCTCACGAAAGCAAACAGGTTTGAGAGATAACCTCAACGTTCGACTGCAGAGCACCTCAGTGGCAATAAGTCAGCACACAATTACTGCCTTACACATATCAGTCGAATCCGTGATGAAAGTAATAACACACTCCCGAAGTAACTCTCACCTGGCAGGCAGCATGGATTTCTATTTCACCATTTGAGCAGGCAGAAACCTGTAAACAACTACATCACAAACGCCCTGAATTTCTCATACCAGGACAGGTTCCTCTGCCTTCCCGCTCTCGCCTTCCCGCCATGCCGCTGCCGCGCCGCAGCCTCCACTCCACGGCCACTGGACCACGCCGCTCTACAGTGCACTTTCCTGTCTGCCACTGGTCAAAGTGATCCAGAAGAAAGCGAATCAAGGGGTTCTCGTCGCTCGCTCTGCACAACTCATGCGACTCAACCGTGAGAAAAGACCTGGACTGTCTTCGACTGGTCCTTCAGAGAGTGGAGTGGAGTGGAGTGGAGGGGTCGGGGTGTTGCCCAGTCTTGCGGCCACTTGAGGCCCTTCTTCCGAGGCCACTCGTTTCACATCCGGCGCTGAAATGACAGAACGTGCTGGGTGGGCTCTTTAGGGCTGCCTCCCCCCCCCCTCCCCCTCGCTATCTCTTCTCAACGCTGGAATGCAGGCCGGACCGCGAACTGCATGCGTCATGTGTCCAGAGCCACTCAGCAGATCGGTTTGTCCGAAGGGTGACTCACTGTAAAATTTTGTGTACAATGATTGTGTGAATGTTCAAGAATGTGCAAGATTTCAGGCGTTTTTGACACACATGTTGCCTAAGGGAGAGTGGGGTACATTGTATCACGGGTTAGATTTTGAATAAAAACAGACGCGAGCGTTTGATGGTGAAACAATTAATTTATTTCAGGTAAATATATCTCCTATATTTGTACTATCTCGTTGTTCCTAGGGAATAATACGTATAAATAACATGGTATAAAATAATATACATAAATCTATGGGGTGTAGTATGCATGTGTGCCACAGAGGCGTCAGTCTGCTACAGTCGCTGTATACTGTCTACTGTAAAGGCCTCACACGGCGTCAACTTGAGGGTCCTGAGGGATGTTGCTCGGCCCGGCCGACCCGGCCGGCCCGGCCCGCGGTCGGTCCAACCAAGCGGCGAGACGACGACCACACATCACATTCCGGAAACACCGGCCGGCAGTTGCGGCACAATGTCGCGCGCGCTCGCTGGGCATCGAACGCACTTCCGACTTCCAGTGGCGGAGGACACCGCCGGCCTCGGGAGGCATGCCAGTCGCTTAATACTAGGAGTGTCTCGGCATGCCTATCAGTGGCTCGGCGAGGACTGGCCCACGTGCTTCCCTCGCGCAGCGTGCCGCGGCGAGAGCGTGGGCCACGTGGCGCACGCGGTGCTGAGACTTCACTGGGCTGTAAGTACAAGTACGGGGCGCCCCCGCGTCCTTCGCGGCCTTGGGCTCCACGGCCCCGTGATGGTGGCGAGAGGGGCGCGTCGTGACGGCGTCCTTCGTCCGCCGTGCACTAGACGGTGTTCTCCCGCCACACGGTCAGGTCCACTCGGGGGATGGCGTCCTCGTTGGCGCAGGATGTCAGTCGGTTGCTGCGGGACGAAACGACACCATCAGCATCAGGTTTCTGCGTATCTCTCAGCCGGGCCGGTAGGAGTGAAGAAGAGTACGGGATAAGAAACGTAAACCCTTATGGAGCTGATGCTGTGACTTTGAGCCGCCCCTCGACCAGCTACTTCAATAAATGATAAATCCCTGTCTCGAGCTCTTTGGAGGAGTAGGTCACAGGGGGTGTACTTTTCTTATCCTGTATACTTCTCTTCCGGAACTCAAAGAAAACGCCGCCGCCAGCACTCACCCTGGCGAGGGCACGGCGAAGGCCTGGGGCTGCATGGTGGCGACCTCGTTGGCGTCGTCGCAGAAGATGCGCGCCAGGGACGCCTTGCGGATCTCGCGGAGCTGCTCCGGGCTGAAGGGGTAGGGCTGGTCCGCGTTGTCGTAGAAGTAGCGGTCGGCGCGCCGCGTGCGCAGCAGCTGCTCGCTGATGATGTAGCGCAGCGTGGGCCCCACCAGCGCGCCGTCCCAGGGCAGCTCCGCCATGCCGCCCACCAGCACGTCCACGTCGTCGGGGTGCGCGTACACCGTGCTGAGCCGCTGCGCCGTCTGCGGCCGAGGAGGGCGGTCAGGGCTTCATCGGCCTGCTGCGGCGGCACGCTCGCGACGACACTCACCTGTCTCGGCATCACGTCGGCGAACTCGTCGAAGGAGGCGGCGGCGGGCAGGCCGCACAGCTTGCGGTACTGGTTGTAGCCGGGCAGGCCGTGGTCGCGGCCCCGCTGGATGGCCAGGCTGAGCGCGTCCACGCCCCGGTCGCTCGAGTCGCGGAACATCATGTTGGTGAGCTGCGGCCGAAGGATTGCAGGTTAAAAGTCTGGTGTGCGTTCGCAGACGCGGATCCCCCTGTGACGATGCTTACATCCTCGACCAGGAAGACGTCCACCTGCTGGCTGGACTGCGTGGCCAGGCCGCGCACCAGGCCGTCCAGCGCCGCGGTGCTCTCCAGGACGTTGGGCTTGTTGAAGTGGTCCCGCAGCAGCAGCGACGCGTTGGCGTGCCGCTTCTCGTCGTACAGCCTGCGCAGTCCCCGGGTTCAAATCCCCTCCGCTCCGCAGGCCTTTTTGCGGCGTTGGCACACTGTACTCACTGTATCCTGCCCTGCATCATGGACAGCCCGAACTTGAGCCCCGCCGTGGCGAACGCGTTGCTCACGCTGGGGTCCTCGCTCTCGCGGAAGGAGTTGAGCAGCGCGCCGCTGCCGGCCATCAGGCCAACCTTCTGGGCGAACCGCGCTCCTGGAAAACAACGACATGAACGACAATTAAACGGAGCGCTTTGGGGAGGCGGTGCGGTCGGACGGGGCGGCGTGCTCACCCAGCAAGCTGGGCATCCACTGGTCGTAGGTGATGTGCTGCATCTCGGCGATGACGACGCGCCGCGCCTCCTGGAACACGGTCTCGTCGTCCCACTGCGGGTTCAGCTCGGACAGCTCCTCGGCCACCCGGTTGTGTTCGCGCGCCCACAGCGTGTGCATGGCGGTCAGGTGGGGGTGGGTGTTGGCGCGGACGTCACCTGAGCATGCCGAGGTCCGGAGTTCAAATACCGGCGCGCAACAAGCCCGAAAAAGCCGCCAGGCAAAATATTTTTTCCACTGCGCTCTCCGTGCTTAAGCTCTGTACTTGGCCCGCGGCCACGGGCCCATGGGAGAGGGGGTGGGGCGCGCAGCGTGTTATACTAAATATACTTTTCGTCGAAGGCACGCGCTGTTAGCCTTGGACATGAATCACATTTGGGTCTCGTTCTAAAACACACTCGCGCCCGATATTTCTTAAAAAAGAGAGGGAAACGACTCGCTTGGGCTCTGTCTTTGTCGTTTTTTTAGACACTTTGGGGGTCAAACGCCAAACGGTCGGGGTGAGGCTCACGCTGGCGACGGCGGCGACTCACCCGACTTGTAGCAGGCCGCCGAGGCGGAGCTGACTTGGCAGCGGTCGCGCGGCTCGTCGGCGGGCGGCAGGTACGGCCTGCCGTGGCCGTTCTGGTTGGCGAGGAGGAGCTTGCCGCGCGCGAACAGACGCAGCGACCGGTCCCTGCGCACCGACGTGCCGTACAGCTGCGACCCGTCCAGGAAGTGCGACGCCTGGTTCATCTGCGAGACAGACAGGCACACTAGAAAGGGACGTCCAGGAGGATTCGGACCCAGAGGCGGGGGGTGGGGTGGCAAGGAGCAATTTTTTCGTAGAACTTCCAGGCCTTTCGACTTTCTTTCTAGGGTCAGAGGACAATTGACGCCCTTCCAACCACCACCATCCGGATGAGTGCTCGCTCGAACCACGAACCTGCTCCGCGGGGCCGAAGCTGCAGTCCGGCCGGAAGGCGTGCAGGGAGCGGATGTAGGACATGCAGCGCGCGCGGTGCGGCGCGTAGAAGGGGTCCTGCTGGGGGATGACGATGGGCTGGCACAGCGGGTGCGCGTGGCGCGGCTGCAGCGGCGTCGAGTCCGGCCGGCAGCACGTCAGCGGCGTGCCCGTGTTCACTGTCACAGGCCGACAGCGGTCAAGGGAGGGCTCTCATCGCACTCTCATTGCACACAGCGTGCTCTCGCCGTCTCCCTCGCACCCGCACACGGGACACGAGTGCGAGAGAGACAGTGGCTCCGACTTACTCATCTTGGACGTGGGCGTGTGCGACAGGTCGTGCTCCACGAACTGGGTCCACTGCATCATGGCCAGCGTGAGCGAGCGGTCCGGGAGGTCCCTGTCCCTGGCGATGGCCACGGACACCTGGCGGGCCGAGGGCAGCGCGATGCCCTTCTTGGGGCCGCGCGGCAGGTGGATGCCTGCGCCCAGAGAGATGAAGCGATGAGCGGTGTTGCCGAAAAAGAAGGCAAAAGGAGCTTTAACACCCTGGCTAGCTCGACTGCAACTCACCGTCCTGGTACTCGGGGAACAGCAGTCGGCGGTAGGAGCTGAAGGCCTGGCCCCAGGTCCACGCCGTGCGGTCGACGTGGTTGCAGGAGCCGTCCAGGCTGCGGTACTTGGCCTGCTCCGGGCAGTGCGCGTCGGGCGGGGCGCGCGCCTCGGAGCACGCCGCGCCCAGCGGCGTGGAGCCCAGCTTCTGGCTGCTCAGCCAGCGCGCGCACTTGAGCTGGTCCACGCCGTACCTGCAACAGTCGGCGTGAGCCGTGTGTGTGGTCGGCGGTCGGCGGGTCGGCGGGCAGGACTTGCCCCCTGGCGGTGAATGGCCGCCCTGGCGGTCCGCTCCGCACCGCGCCCCTCGGCACCCACCTCTGACAGTGATGCTGCGACAGGTAGAGGGCGGCCTTGACGGCGGCCAGGGCCTCCCTGCCCTGCTCCAGCGCGCGCTGCTCCGGCATGGACTCGATGAACTGGCCGTGGATGGAGGTGCCGAGGCGCATGTGCACGCCGGCGCCCTCGAGGGACGACTCCAGCCGCGCCAGGCGCGCCACGGTGTCGCGGCCGAACGCCGCGCTGGCGTTCAAGTCCGCAGGCTTGACCCGCGGCAGCGACAGCGACTCTGAGGCACAAACGGAGCGCGTCAAGAAGGACAAAGACAGACACTGCTTTCCCTCGCGGCACGGCGCTCCTTCCTCACCATAGCCGACGCGCGCCGACTCCGACGTGCAGCACACCGCGAGCAGCACCAGCAGGGCGGCGGCGGGGCGCCCTCCGCGCGGCGCCGTGGTGGCCATGGTGGTCCAGCAGCCCTGCGAGCAGTGAGGACGTCATCGGTGGTGTCATGCTGGTGTCATCGACGACGCCGCGCCACTGCAATGCTCGCGGCTCGCCCGGCGCACACCGAGGCGCACGCCTTCGACACGTGAACGCGAAGCGAAGGCAGCTCCCGTCGCCAGACCGAGAACCAAACCGGTTCACGAGCCGCGGCGCCGCGGCCAACTCCATCCATTGCTCCATTTACCTCTTCCTTTTCCCCGCCTATCTTTATGCGTGTGTCAAGTCGAGTCGGCCCTGGGACGAGAGGCAGCTATGTTTTTAGAACCGGTGCGTGTTTTTTGCCGCGCTCAAGTAAAATGCGCAGGGTTAAAAATAGCGGCCGGGCACCGGTGCTGGAGGCGCGAACGGCGCGAACGGCGCGAGCGCGGCGACAAGGTGTAAACACGAGGCGGAGGCGAACACGGTGAGCATCACTCCAGCGCGTCACTGCGCGTCACGGGCAGCGCGGCCGCGGGCACAGCCAGGCACAGCGCTCCAGATGACGCCGCGATGACCGCCACACTCATCGAGGAAGTCGGCGGTGACAGAATATCTGCTGAGCGTCCACTTCCTGGAACGGTCGCCGCCGCGTCGCCCAAACAACAACTCGCTTTCGATGAGTGCAGCTAAGCCGCCGGTGTGCCCGGAGGCACGCTAAGCACACGCCGACGCTCAACGAGGCGACGATTCGGAGCGGAGAGAGTCGCGAGAGGACACGCCGCGAGTCGGACGACGTGCCGCGGCCGCCGCGACGTGCGCACCGGGCGACGCGACGACAACAACAGTGGCGGTCGTTTCGTTTCGTTTTCGGAGCGGCTCTCCAAAGTAAACACGCCGGCGAGGCGCGGCGTGAGGCGAAGCGCGAGGCGCGGAGCGCGGAGCAGGGCACGACCGGCATGGCCGGTGCGGCCGGCACGCCGGCGGGGAGGTGACTGGAGGTGACTCACCGGCCCTGCGGCCTGCGTTGCGCTGCGCGCTATCGCCGACGCCCTGCTCGCGGCATCTTCTGATCGGAGGTCCTTGTCCAGGACTCTCGGCAGGTCCTTTGAGGCCCCGCGGCAGTTTCCATGGAAAAGTCCCGCCCCGGGCCCGGCTGCCGGGCCGGCGCGATGAAGTGGTGCATTTGGGAGCGCGGAAGCTACCCGTTGCAAACCGCGCCCCCGCCGCGGCCCCGCGGCACGCCCTGGGCCTGAGATGGGAGGCCGCGCGAAGCGCGAATGCCGCCAGTCTTCGGGGAGCAACAAACCGGGCGCTGTGTGCCGTGCCGCCGTGCCGCCGTGCCCCCAGCGCGGCCAGGAAGGTCGAGGAACTGAACCGCCGCGCCCCGCCTGGACCGCCAGGACCTCCACGACGTCCTGCACGCGTCCGGCCTCGCGCCTCCCCGCGTCAAGCAGTCAAGCGCCGCGTCCTTCCGACCTCTCTCTCCGTCCCCCCTCTTCCCCCTTTTCTGTCTCCCTCTTTCGTTTACTCGATCCGCGCCTCGCTGCGCCAAACAGCGCCAAGCAGCGCCAAGAGGTCACATCCTGCTGAAGTTGCCGCCAAGGCGCGCCAAGGACCCAGCGAGCGGCGGGCAGCGCGTTCGGCGAGGCGTTTTCATTACCCGCCGAGGGCCGAGGCGAGGCTGATGGACTTGGCTGCGTCCGACAGCAGCGGGCTGCGGCGACGCACGCCTCGGGAGGTTCATGCTGACCACTGCAGGTGAGCAGCCCTGCACTTGGAGGCTTTCCTCGGCGGCAAGCCTTCCGCCCAGCCCCGCCCCGCCGCCTGCATGGCATAATGGCGCGCCGATTGAACTCACGTGAGCGCGCTCACGACCCACAACAATCTACATTGTGCCTCACTCTCTTCCATTCGCTTCGTTTCGCCCCGCCTCAGCCGACCCACCCCGCCCCGCCCCGCCCCGCCCGCCCACTCCCCGCGATGGCCGTGTCGCGCTGCACTAAAGCCCTGAAGCCCCGCGGGTCCTCGGCCCGGCTCGGCTCCGCACCACGCACCGCCGCCAGTGGCCTGGCCCGGCTGCACGCAGCTCGACTCGTCCGCGGCCGGCGCGGCCCGGCGCGGCTGTGGGCTAGTCGCTGGATGGCCCGATGCCGCCGTTGGGCCCTGGGCAGCCCTGGGCCCAGGCCGATGCGGGCGCTCGGCGGAGGTGGGGCAGGCAGGCAGGCAGGGCCTTAGGCAGGGGGCGTGGGGCGTGCTGCTGGCTCCTGCAGGTTGTATCGCGACGTATCTATCGGCCTGCCGCGGCTCTGCGCACTACGCCGCACTACGCACCCGCAGATGCGCTAGGTGCCGGCGCCTTGTCGCTGCCGGTCCGTGCCGGTCTTTCGGCGCGAGTATCCCCCTTCCTTCCCCCTTCCCCCTGCCGCATGCGGGTTGCTAGGGACCTTCGCCAGCTCGGGGGACTCCGTGCCGTCGTGACGCACCTCCAGTTGCGCCGGGTTTGGGCCACAATTTTGCGGCCACAAGAGCCCTGTTTCATCGCGCGGGTTCATGGTAGCTGCCATCATGTCATATGTCATGTCCTCCGAGAGCACCGCTTGTTCGCAGCTTACAGAGCTTGTAGCGCCTGCGAGGTAGGCCACTGGCTCGCACCGCAACCCACCGGTGTGGAGACGGTGGCCTACCTCGCCCCTGTGAGGATGACAGGGGTGACGTAGGCCACCGTCTCCACACTAGTGTGTTGCAGTGCGAGCCAGTGGCCTACCTCGCAGGCGCTAGAGACTCATGCGGCAGGTGCATGCACCTTAATCCCGTTTGCTACAAGAATGCTGTCGCCAGCGTGCTTTTGGTGTCCGTGCCGCTTTGGCGGCAGAGCGCGCGGCACGCCCGCCTCGCCCACGACGTGGTCGCAGTCTTGGTGGTCTCGGGGGCCTGGAAGACGTCACGGCGTCACGGGCCAAGAGCGATAACCGGAGCAGCGAGGCGAGAAGACAGAAACGCATGGGGCGATACGGCGCCGATAACGCGCCGATGCACTGTGCATATGCTGTGCATGATCCAAGCCCTCCAAGCCTCCACCCACGACGGCGCGCTGCTCGTCCGGGACGCGCCGACACGCGGACACCGAGGGCCCCGCCGCCTCGCGGCCGCTCCGTCCATCCGTCACCGCCACGCCCTCGGCCACGCCGCGCGAATTGAAGAATCACCCGTCTTCGTCAACGAGCAGTCTGTCGTCTGCCGAGCGGGTCAGATGAGTCGTTTGGTCGTTCTGTCTCTGTCGCACTCATGGGGTTCGCCATAATGGGTGCGAGGGAGACAGAGCTGCTCTTCTGTCGTCTGCCCGAGGAGAGGCGCGTCCCGGAAGAGAGGGGTTCTCTTGCTCGCAAAGACGCGCGGGGGGAGGGGGAGGGCTCGCATGCTGTCTCCGTTTCAGCGGCCCGTTACACACAAAGCACTCATTAGCCGCGGAACGGTCCAGCTTGTTTACAATATTCTGCGCAGGCGGATGTCAGCGCGTCGCCTGCAGGGATACGGGGAGAGGTGCGAGACGCCGCCGAGTCGTCGGACGTCGGAGTCGTCAACACGGACGGGGAGCGACGAGGCAGCGCCACCTGCAGGCTGACTCCGAGCACAGCCGCCGTCTCTGTCGCGTCCTCGCGAGACGCCCCGTGAGTGCGAGAGAGACGGAGCGACGAGAGCAGTGCGCAGAATGAGCCAGCTGCGAGTGCCGGCATTACGGGTCGGCGGCAAAAAGGGGCAAAGAAAATGAAACAAACGGCGGAAAATTCCACCGCGCGCGTCCTGCGCACCCCAGCCAAGCTAGGGCCAACTGCACGGCAAAGCGGCAACCCGGCTCGAGCGAGCAGGCCCTCCTTATCACTGAAATAGCGAGCATCGGGTGCGGCTCCTGCATGGAAGTGATGTGTGTGTGTGTGTGTGTGAGTAAGTGAGTGAGTGCGAGTGTGTGTGAGTGTGTGCGTGTGTGCTTGCGTGTGTGTGTGTGAGAGAGAGAGTGTGTGAGTTTACGTGATCGCGCTTGCCCGGCCAGGCCCCAGTGGCGTGCTTCCCCTCCCCAGGACTCCCCAGGACCTATTAAGCACAAGGCTGCCACCATAAACAACAATTCGACGTTGTGGCCAGCCAGGCCAATGGGTTCGGTCGGGCGCGACTTGATTAGAGAAATTAAGAGACTGCCTGAAGTCGGCGTCCCTCGGCCATCGGAGTCCTCCGAGTCCACGGGCTCCTTTGGGTCCGCGGCCCTCAGGGTGCGGTGGCGCGGTGCAGGGCAACGATCCCTCACCGATGGCGCGGCTGGAGTGGCTGACGAGCGACTCCGGAGAGCCGTTTCGGTCGCTCTGTCTCTCTCGCACCCCTTCGGGACGCCCCAAGAGTGCGACAGAGACGGCGTCGACGAAACGACTCTCCGGAATCAGTGTGCTGGACACCGCGTCAGTCATCTGTCTGGTCAGCTGGCGGCACTGGCTGGCTGGATTGCCTGCGGACGCGGCCAACGGCCTCGCGCCTCGCGCCTCGCGCTGCCCCGACTTGGCGCTCCAACGCTCGGATCGGCTCGGATGCATGTGAGGCGCGAGAGGGACAGCGAGGAGTGCGGGCGGCATCGCCGGCAGTCCGACGAGCCCCCCTCAGCCTTGGCTGGCCCTTGGCGCGGCCGTGAGTCGCCGCGGAGGCGTGGCGGTGGTGGCGGTGGCGGTCCCCGCTGCGATCTGCGAGGCGTCGGGGCGGCCGTCGGGGTGGTGCTGCATCGCTGCATCGCTGCACCGCTGCATCGGTTCAAGGCGCACTGCACTGCAGGCTGCAGGCAGCTGGAGGGCTGGGCTAGGTCATGGCACCCCGAGATAAAGCCGGGGCTTTGTTTGTGAGGCGCCACGCCGCGCCGCGCCGCGCCACGCTCGGTTGCTTCAATTATAACGCTGTCCCCATTCGGCGCTTCGGTCTGACAGTCTCCTGCCTCTCTCGCACCCGCACCCCTCCGGCACGCTCCAAGTGCGATAGAGGCACGCCGACGAAGCCACGGGGGCAGAGGTTGCGCAGCGGGGGCGGCTCAAAGACGGCTTGCGATAGACGACCGTTGAGCCAGGCCCTGCCGCCCGGAAGCGAAGACCGCCGTCCGTCCGCTACGAATATTCGCGAATATTGGCGTGGCGTGGCGTGGCGTGGCAAGGCAAGGCGGGCAGAGGCGTGAGGCAACGCGAGCCGATGCCGATAAGCGAGCCGCGTCAGCACGTCAGCCTGAGGGCCGCGGGGTCACGGAGGAACGCGGGCCAGCAGGGGCGGGGCGGAGCGGGTGGCGGCTGCAGGGCAGGTCCGTGATAAGTGCAGCCGTGCTTCGCAGGAAATTCGCCTGTCTGGCACTGCCGGCGTCGGCGGTTTGCTTGTTGACGTTCGGAGCGAGAGATAGTAGTTTTGGTGCTGGACTGTGTTCTACAAGGTTTCCCGGTAAAAAAATGCGTCATGGGTCGTGCTCTCTCAACAAGAAACACGCTGACGTTCGGCAATGGTGACCTGACGTCAATCGTCAAAAAGGTATCAATTTTGGAATTAAAGGGCAATGCTTGTCAATGACGTCAAATTTGAGGAATTTTGATTGACCCGGCCACGGCCATCCTTCGAGTAGACTGGTGTCATTCGCAAGCGAAACCCCGATATCATTCACATGGGCTGGTAGTTGTATCGCGTTTCGCGCCGTGTACTTCGCGAGAGGCACATCTGTCAAGCGGCCGATTGCAAGTGTCAGTGGCCGAGCCGAGGGAGGCCTGAGAGCGGCCAGTTGACAGCGGCCGAATCAAGACTTCGCGGATCAATTGCGGGTCGTGGCCAGCAAGCCGAACAGTGCGCTCTCCATGTCGTTCCGTAAGGGTTCAAGAGAGACAGACAGACAGACGGACAGACAGACAGACAGACAGACAGACAGACAGACAGACAGACAGACAGACAGACAGACAGACAGACAGACAGACGGACGAAAGCATTGAAAGACTGCAGTCCGGCGTCTGATCGTCTGATCGTGGCACTGGAGAATAAGGGTCCGCGAAGAACCAACAGGGTCCCGTCCACGAAGGTCCTCCAAGGTTCCAGGCGTTCCAGGCGTTCCAGGCCCGGGCAGGACTTCCCTCCTTGGTCGCCCTGCACTTTACTCACCTGGCTGGGCGCGGCCTGGCGGAAGAGCCGGCGGTCCTCTCTTCGCGTCGCGCCGCTCACTGCCACCACTTTCACGTCGCGGCCTCGGGGACTAGGCTAGGGGACTCGCGGGACTGAACCCGGACAATCGGGACACTGCGCCGAGTGGCAGTCGCGTGCCGCGCGGCCCGTCGTGCGGCCTGTCGTGTCGCGTCCTAGGCCGGCTTGGTTCGCTGGCTTGGCTTGCTTGGCGTGGTATGCGACCGGTCGCCGGCGACTGTGGGCTCGGACTGATCGCCGCCAAGTCACATCGGGCGGCGGGCGGCACGGGCACGGCCAGGGCACGGCGGGGCCAGCGCAGCGCGCAGCGCCTCATGACAGCGCCAAGCAGCGCGCCTGTGTCGTCCCAGCCCGTCCCTGCCTGGGCTGCATGCCCAAAGCACCGCCATGGCAGCGCCAAGCCCTCGGCCCGCACCAGCAGGGGGTGGCGCACGGCCAGCAGCGCACCAGCACATGAGTCGTTTTCGTCGCTCTGTCTCTCTCGCAGGGACGCCTCATAAGTGCGAGAGAGACAGAACGACGAAAACGATTCTCGAAATCAGTCTGCTGCGCCGCGCCAGGCCGCCAGGGAAGGGAATGCCAAAGACCGGTGGGGGCGGCACGGTGGCTTGGCGGTGGAGGCAGGACACCGACCACACTGTGCAGCAGCGCCGGACGGGAACGGCAACCCACTGTACACGACGCTCGGTAGATCGAACGGAAGTGCGCCTGGAGCTGCGCGATAGGCAACCCATCGCACGCAGCCATAGCGCCGCGAGCTGGGCAACCCACCGTACACGGTGCCAGTGGCCGAACGACAACGACAGCCTGTTGCAAGGCAACTAGAGTGGCGAAACGAAAACGGGACGGTGGCTTGCGTGCCTCCGGCCCAGGCGCGACACGATGCCCTCTGTATGTACTTTGACCGGAGGCTTCGGCTCTCCCTGCTTCTCAGTTTCCCGAGTCAGGCACCCAAGTGTGTTGATAAACTTGGTGACCAGGAAAGTGTGTTAGAAAGAATCTTCAGTGCACTGCGCGCGATGACCATGACACCTCTAATTTGAGCCTTTTTAATTTTTTCTTGGCCCTCGGGGTTGACGCTGTGTTTGCACCCAGAGATGTCGAGACCTGAGTGTGCCTCGCCTAAACTTAAACTGATTTTATTTAAGAAAATCACTTAATGCTCTTGAACTTTTAAACATTTTTATTTTTATTAAGAATCATAAGTCTCTCAAGTAATTGCCTTCTGTTTACAGTAAATGAAGAAAATTCTTAACATAGTTGCACCAACATTGGCCATTGTTTAATAAATTATCTTACTTTACCATGTCTAAATTCAGTCAAAGGATTTCGTTTCCATTTCTCAACATGCTTGTTCACTATGTTATTTTCATCCCCTTGCAATAGGAAGATAACATCTCTACGACTCCATTCAAAATAATCTCTTTCAGTCCAAAATCCCTGACGAACTGGCATTGAAGTTGTTAATCACCTGAGTTTATGGCGGTGAGACAGCTTAGTTGTTCTTCTGCATATGACCGCATTTCCTTACAAGCAACATCATGTCTGATGTACTTCTATTAATGTACTTGAAAACTGTGAAAGTGAAAACTAGAACGGAAACAAACTGCCTCATCAAGAAAAAACAGCAATATGACACGCCTTACAAATTTTATCAGTACAAAATCACAGCAAATTAAAGACTATAACAACATGAGGATACTAAGGAATCTTCTATGCTATTTAAAAAAGCTTAACTTATGTGCGAAGTTTATGATACATACATTTTGTCATGCGGAATAAAAGCAAAAACGAAAACAGGTATATCTAAAAACATTTTGTTTCACTTTGGATTCAACCAACACACAAAGGTTGTATTGGCATGAAGAGCAAACTTTATATTTTGAACTGATCATCTTAACATTATGCAACAGAAGGAGTTAAACAACAATAGAAAATAAAGAAGGTATTATATTATGATGGATCTTTGCAACACCACATCATCTTTAGAGGACTGTTCAGGGTGTATGGTACAACTAACATTTTACAAATACAATCAATTATACATTTAGCTAATATCCACAAAGATGAGTGGTAAAACACTTTAAGTATCATTTTAAAAATTTCCTAATTAATTTATAATTTAAAAACCATATTTTGAGATCACAGTCAAGCATTTCATGGAAATGTAGCACTTGGTACTTAACACATATTGGCAAGCCATTGATTGCCAAATGAAACAAGTTCTCTTGTGTGAGACTTGTGACTAAACTTTTTCCATGTCTGATAGAAACTAACTTCCTGTTTCAGAAACGTACGGTTTCTAGTTCATTCATTTTTTTTTTTAGTAAGTATTTAAGATGTGTTAGGTGGATCTTTCATGTCTATCTGAGGCTTAATACAAATAAGTTACTAAAAACATGGATATGGATTCATTCCTAAATAAAAAAGATTACCTTCATGAATGGCCAAGAAAAAGAACCAAACCTATAAATTAAAGTAAAGTTAGCAACTCAGTATCACAAGAAAGGCTGTTGGTAAAACAAGAATATAAGCAACCAAAACAAAATTGTGGAACGACTCTAATTTCTTTTTACTTGTTGAACCGTATGAGGTATAGATGAGCAGTTTGACTTTGACAGAGTGTTTGTTTCTACTAACAAATATGTAGAGCCCATTAAATAGCAAGGAGCACATTGTGAATGTAATTGTGCACCCTTTACCTCTCTCACTTTAACACAGAAATCAAGCAAGGCATCACAATGTGATAATCTAATAGAAATGAGAACATCAACAACAAAATTTCAGAACAAGTAGATAGCACCAGCAACATATTTAAATCAATACACAAGCAAGGGAAGGGTTCTCTCATATCAAGTGAAGTATATCCCAAACCCCCTTTCACATTCATTCTGATCCACTGGGGTAAAAATATATATAGATATATGTAGATATATATTTACACATATATAAATACTGTTTGTACCTATACAATTATACAATTTAGATTTATGTACATTTTGAATTTTTGTAAACCGTTAAAAATACAATAACATTATGGTCTCATTAAGGCTGATGGCTTTGCAGGGCAATGAGATTTTCTCACATCCCAAACATTGGGTGGAGTGATCCACTGCACCATGCTATGCAAGCTCGGCAAAAAGCTGTAGCTGGGGCTTGTTTCCAGGTAGTGTTCCACAAACAATAGAGACAGCCAAAGGTTGTTCCCTGGTCATCAATCTGCAGTCTAAGCATTGAACAGAGAGAATAATAAAATTATTTGTGGTAGGCGAGGTTGGGAAATTTTAGATATTTCACCATAAAATGCTCAAACAGCTTCCCACAATAATTGAACACACACAAATAAAATCTTTTAAATACAGATACTTTGGAATGTAACTCAGTTCATAGTACTATCTGTAAAAAAAAAACAAACAAACCCAAAAACAAACAATCAAAAGAAATAACAAGCTTTTAGCTTGAGTCAACCAGAATATTTACAAATGGAGCAACTGCTGATCCTCTTACACGTAGAAGAGAAAACCCTTGCTATTACGCATAGGACATAGGTATAAAAAGTAACTTTCACAGTGACAAATTTTTGGCTTTAATGAAAGTGATATCTAACACTTAGCTCAAGTCAAAATTAGAGTTAATTTACATAACAGTTCACTTTATGAGCAAAAATGTGGAAACACACAAGCTTACTAATGCAATACAACATAAATGTTTGTAAATGCAGTGGCGCAATCAAATTGCCAGCTGCCCTTTTCCTCACAACTGCGATAATATCGCATAATTATCGACCCCATACTCAACCAGCTGAATATAGTTAAAGACAAATGGTGCCTGCTGAGACAGCTGTTTGTCAGTCACTAAATCATATCACAACACCACTAGAGTCCACTCAACATTTTCTAATAGTAAAGTGGCTCACAGGTGGGAGTGCCGGCAGTATGGGTGGATCGCCTTCATCATCTCAGGGCACTGAGGGACGCAATGGCAATCAAAGCAGCTGTTATCAGGATACCCGACAGCTGTGCTGTGGTTGCCCCATCTGTACCATCAACACCGTAATTGTCGCATTGACCTGAAAACAAAACCAAACAATGCATATTTCAGGCAGCCTGATAAAATATAGAGCAAGAAAAAAAACCTTGATTCAATACCAACCTTCCACAGTTAAATTGAAGGCCCATGCACCATTGTGCCCAGGAACAATATCCCTTTGGCAGGATTCTGCCACAGTGCTTAATCTTAAGATAGAGGAACGACGAGCAGCTGCCATTGGACCATGCTTGCCATCCAGTCTATTGTACCCATCAGCAATGGGCAACATCTCGCGAGTGTAAATGAAACAAAATCGCTTGGCACCAGAAGACTTGCTTGTTGAGGCGATCAAGTAACTGGTTCCATTTTCTTCCCAGGTTCCATGACACGAATATGACGTAGCCATGTTTGAACATGTGGAATGAAATTCCATGATATCGTTGCTGTGGCTTTGACATCCCACAGCTAGAGACTGGAAACTATTTTCTGCACAGTCAGCAAAATTATCAAGATGGGATGTGTCAGGATCAGTTACTGCAATATTGGACTCGATTGCTTTTCTTTTACGCCGTTGCTGAGAAATTTGTCCATCCACTATATACCGCCCCACATGGGGACACTTGCGGGTGTGCGGGTGGGCGGCTAAAGAGAAAGAAGGCGACAATTAAAAAACATTGAACAAATTATATAAATATTATTGTATCTAAATATTGAAAATGAAAGTACTCACTAATAAGGGTGACATAAGGCAAAGTTTTGGTGTCAAAGAAATCAGCACTGCAGGCCTCGTCAGGAACTGCCGCATATTTATCTAAATAATAACAAACAAAAACATGAGATGCACCATACAGAGCGACCCAGTTAAACTAGTTCCAAATTAGTGTAAACTTACAAGACTGTTGGACTTCAATGACGTGATTGTCACGTTCATAGAACTGCATACAAATGTAGCCACTCTCACTGCACAGAAAGACAAAAGGGCAAAGTTAGCATCAACAGTCTTTGGTACTCGTGATTTGAAAGAAAACGCCTGTTCATGCTCCAGGCATTCCAGGCCCAGGGTCCAGGGCTTACCATCCGGAGGTGACGTGCACGACGAAGCGGGCCATCTTTCGGTCGTGGCCGCTGCCGCTACCCGACGCGGGCTGCGCCTGGGCGGCGTCCCTGGAAGGCGCCACGGCCTCCTGCACGGAGTGGCACACGCCCACCAGCTCGTTGCGCTTGTGGCGGTCGCCCTGCAGCCCGGCCGCCAGCGCGCCGGTGCTGTACGTGGGCGGGGCCTGGGCGCCGTGGCTCATGAGCGCCATGGACGCCATCATGGTGGTCAGGTTGGGGTCCTCGCGCACCTCGTGCCGGAAGGACGAGTTGGTGTGCGTGAAGTTGTACAGCCGCGCCTTGTCCAGGCTGTACCAGTGGCGGTGCTGCACCACCCAGGGCGGGAACTTGCACCGCGTGTGCGACAGGTCCGCTGCAACACAGAAGGCACACCCCCATCAAAAACGCGGGACAAAAAAGGAAATAAAGAGAAAAGCCGCTGGGATTCGAACCGAAGACAAGACCAATGAGACGACTCGACTCACCTCGCGTCAGCTTCATGACCTTGGAGCCGTCCGACGGCGAGGGAATGCCCGTGCAGGAGGCGTCGGGCGAGACGGCGATCTGCGTCGTGTTGTTGACGTTCTCGTAGACGAAGCAGCGGTAGCTCTCCTCGTCGGACTGGAAGACGCCACCCAGCTCGGGCCGGCTCAGCTTGCCCACCATGTACTGGTAGGGGCCGTCCTTCCACGTCGCCAGGCATTCCAGCTCCTCCACTGGAAACGGAACGGAGAGGCATGAGTCAGGGCTCCGGGGGGGACTCCCTGCGTGTTACTCTGTCTCTCTCGCACCCTCACGGGACTCCCCATGAGCGCGAGAGCAGAGCAAGGTAGACGTCGTGGACGTACCCAAGTCCTGGGTGCCGGCCACGTCGGCGCAGGCAGCGTTCCTGATGAGCAGGCGCGAGCTGTCCATGCAGGAGTCGACGCGCGACACGGGCGACTGGCAGTCCCCGGTGCCCTTGTTGTAGGAGAAGGTGTAGGGCGGGTGCGCGAAGGGGCAGCGCACCGGGCCGTCCTTGGGCTGCTTGCGGAACATGGAGTGCAGCGGGTTGTCCGAGTGCACGTCGCCGCACAGCTGTTCGATGTTCTGGTCGCCGTAGTCCTTGCACGGCCACGCTGTAAGGGGCAGAAGCAAACAACCGTGAGCAACCAACCTGGTGCGGTGTCGTGTCTCTGGGAGGCAATATAACGGCAAGGGCCGCCGGTCCGCCCCGCCCCACCCCGCCCGGCGTGCAAATATTCAATATGCGGACGGAATTCGCTCCGCAGAGGCGGTGAGGCGGCGAGGCAGGCCTGCTAACATGACGCGAGCCCCGCGGCCCCGTGTGTCATAGTTGCTGAGGTTTGGGGCCCAACTATCGGGGACGAGACGGCGTGCCGTGCCGTGCCGTGCCGCGCTAGGCATTCCATTCCGACCCTACCCGCAAGACTTTTTCCCGCCCCAAGTCGTCCGAAAATCCCGCCAAGTAGAGCGACGGTCCGGAACCTCTCCCTCGAGTCGTCAACGAAAGCGTGGCTGCGGCTAGTCACGCCGCCACACCCTCTAATCCACAACCCGTTCCAACCCGTGTCCGTCTCGTCGGCAAGTCTAAGGGACTCCGACTCCACGGAGTGGGTGGGGCTGGCGAGGCCGGCGAGGCGTGGTGGCCCGACCGCACCGCAAGCCGGAGTCCCCAAGGCTGCCAAGGCTGCCAAGGCTGCCAAGGCCCGAGATCGTTCGGCCGCCAAGTTCGGCACGGCCTCTTCGTATCGGCCTTCGAGGCCTTCGAGGCCTTCCAAGCCTTCAGGCCCACGCTTTGGGCAGCACGGCAGCCAGCTCGGCGTGCAGGGCGTGGGGGAGGGAGTACCGGTGCGGCATGCCGTCGGCATACCGCTGGCATACCTGTTGTACACTCTCTCGCGCAGCTGCTGCACTACAGCACTCGAAATTCATACCCCGGCCCCCGTTGGCGTCGGGAGGGTAGGGAGGGTGGCCTACGCCGCGCTCCGCAGGCGTCAAAGTCCGGGCGGGGCGGGGCGGGGCGGGGAGGAGCGGGCCGCTACTCCGCCACGCACCGCCGCGCAGCGTCGCCGTCGCCTTCCAACTTGCCGGTGCGTCCCGGCCGGCCGGCCCGGCCCGGGGTAGGATATCTGTCGGACGGTCGGCCGGTCGGGCCCGCCCCGCCGGGGGAGGGAGGGTTCTGAGCACCAACTCAACCCTGTGGAGGCGTGCCAAAGTGCCCCGGGACACTCGCGCGCTCCCAGAGGGCCCCGCCCGGCCCCGCCTGGCCCCGATACAGGTGGCCCCCCACCGCCCCCTCCTTGTGATAGAGTGCAGCGCCATGCGTCTGGCTTCCGGCCCGACCAAGTTTCGCCACACTCCGATCACAACCATTGGGCTAATGTGTGGTGTTGCCCCCCCCCTTCCCCTTCCAGCCCGTTTGACCAACTTGGGCTATTACGCCCCACCGCTCCGCGTCATTTTTTGGGCGCGCCCTGCCGCCCCGCCGCCCTGCCCTACATCGCGCTGGCCGACGCCGAGCTCGAGGCCAAGCTCGCCGAGACGCTGGCCGCGCGAACACCTGCGCCGCGCGCGCTGCGCGCCTGGCAAAAAGGAGGTGAAACCCGAAGAGAGGCGAGGCCGCGAAAAAAACCCAACACGACGCGGAAAAGAAGCGGAAGGGGAGGTTCTCACCTTCTTTGTACTGCAGCACGTCCATGTGCCGCTGGTAGATGATCATGCAGCCGTAGCAGCTTTGCCTGCAACAGAAACGACGTCGGGGTTAAAGCAAACATCCAAACAAGCCAACAGTGCGTCAACAGCGTTATTCGCGCTCCCGCGGGGATTCGAACCGCGGACCGCGACCGCGCCCGCACCGCTCGGGAGGGCGGCGAGGGCGAGGCACGGTCTTCCGGTCAGCGAGCGAAACGGAGCGGACGCTGCCTTCCTGGTCCCCGACGTCCCCGACGTCCCCGAGGGCACCCGAGTGTCACGCCGGGCCGTGCCGAGCCGTGCCGTGGCCGGCCAGCAGCGACCCTTTGGGGCCGGCCGCCACCGCCACCACCCATTACCCAAACAAGGCATGTGCATTTAGAGCAATCCATGGCGGCCACGCTGTCTAGCTCTGTCAGGAGCGTCATGGTGCTGCCAGCGGCCCGCGCCGCCCGGGCCCAGTAGACTGATTCCGAGAGTAGCTTTCGTCGCTCTGTCTCTGTCGCACTCGCGAGCGAGGGGTGAGAGAGACAGCGACGAGAACGACTCTCGGAAGCAGTCTGCGGGGCGCGTCATGGCCCAGCCAGCGGCCGAGCCGGCAGGGCTGGCCGGCAGGGCCCCAGGGGCGCTGCCTGCTCCGGCTGCTGCTGCTGTCCGGCCACACCCTCTTTGGCGTCCAGGGCGACGAACTAAGCGCGACGGCCACGCTCCGCTTCCAGCGCTTCCAGCCCTCCAGCGCCGCCAGCCCGCCAGCAGAGCCCCGGCCAGCGCTTCATGGTTAGGTGCGCGCGGACAACGCCAACGCTGGACGCGCGTGTCTCGTCCTTCCCCAGGGCCAGCACGGCCAGGGCCAGCTCGGCTAAGGCTCGTCCGGCGCCGCCAATATCGCGCGACCCGCGGGGGTCCTTCCTTATTTATGCCCCCGCACAAAGAGGCAACCTCGGCGGCGTCTGGTCGCGCCGTGCCGCGCCGTGGCCCTCTCTATCCTCGCCGACCATCAAAGAGTGCCGCCGCCGCCACTCCCGGATCAGCGCAGCCTGGCGCAGCCAACCAGGCCCCTCCCTTCGCGCCGACTCAATACGGGACACGGGCCGACCGCAGAGATCAAGCGTCTTTTTAATTTGAAGCAGGGGAGTGTGTGTACACGGGCGGTGCGTAGAGGCATGCATGCATGTGTGGCAAGCAGTCTTTTGACTCGCGATCACCAACACCAACGAACACACACACACACCCTACACACCCCTACACACACACACAGACACACACGCGCGCGCGCGCACACACACACACACACACATTTCACATTCGCCTCTCGAAAAGCGCGACGCCCCAGGCGGCCCGCTGCACGACTCGACTCCACCCGGGCGGCCAGGCGGGCCGCCAACGCCACTTTTGCTGGTGTATGCCCTTCGGCTGTCATCTGCCGCCATTCCAACTTTCCCTGTTTTTAATCCACCATACCGCATGCGCGTGTGCGTCCCTCCGTGGAGTGGAGGGTTTTCGTTTTTTTATATCTCCCCGTTTTTTTTGTGTGATCCGAACTGCCTCGTTAAATGGGTTTTTATTACGCAAAATCGCGCAACACTGGCAAAAAAAAACAGCATGAAAGTGATGTCCGCCTTACTAAATAGAAAAAAAAACTTAGATTTGATTGAATGCATTTCGTATCCGATAAGAGTGTGTTCCATAAAGGGCCGTTAAATAAAAACCTTCCTTTAGTTCCACGTTTAGGCGTTGTGGCCGACATGGCGAAAACGGCGACATCTTAGGCGGCTACACCCCCTTTGTAGTCAAACGCCGTCTGTCTTTGCGCCCATTTTCCATCAGCCTACTGTGAATAAATATATATTCCCCAAAAAGGAAAGACCAAACCCCCCAAAAAGCACACAACAAAAAACCACAGCTGTCCAAAAGGCTGAGGCAAACGACGCAGCGATCTCCACTTTCGGTTTATTTGCATTTCCGCCTCGCTGGGGCCCAACCCAGCGCCCGACGCCCCGCGGCCACGGGCAGAATATTAGCATCAGAGGAAGTCCACCGCCACGGCGCTTGCCACACACTCTCACACACGACCTGAGCGGCCACTCCGCTTCTTTCTTTTCTTCAAACAAAATTGTAAACAATTTGGTTAAAAACCCTCTGCGGGAGAGCGGCGCGGGCCGAAGGGAGCCCGTCGCGTCCAGCCACCCGCCTCGGGGGGCGTCCCTCGCCGAGTCCCTCGCGGGAGGGAGGGAGGGAGGGCCAACATTTTGCACCAACATCCCTCGTCGTGCAGCGCGAATATTAAAACCAGAAAAAAGACCCCAGCAATAAAATGTGATTGGGGGAACGGCGAGCCAAAGAGACGCGGTGCTCGGGGCTGCCCCGGAGGCCGCCACGACGCGATGGTCGAGGCCGTCCCGGAGGCCGCCACGACGCGATGGTCGAGGCCGTCCCGGAGGCCGCCACGACGCGGTGCTCGGGGCCGTCCCGGAGGCCGCCACGACGCGATGGTCGAGGCCGTCCCGGAGGCCACCACGACGCGATGGTCGAGGCCGTCCCGGAGGCCGCCAGGACACGGTTCCGAGGGCCATCGCGGAGGCCGGAGGCGCTGGCGGCGAGGTCGCAGCCTCGGCCCGAGCCTCGGCTAGCCCCACCTTGGCGCTGCAGACGGCTCATTAGCGGTCCGACCGGCCAACTTGTATCCTAGCCGGACGCCGCGGCCGGAGCCAAAAAAGATGGATCGCTCTTTTAGACTTTCCCTCATCACGACGCCGGCCTCGGCCCAGCCCAGCCCTCGGCCACGCGACGCGCCGCGACGCGCCGCGAATCGAGTTAGAAGGGAATTAGATGAGGGCCGCAAGGCGCAGCGCAGGGCAGGCAGCAAGGCGGAGAGAAGATTGGAGGCTGCGGGCGGCGCCTCGGCACTCGACGACGTCCGAGACCACCACACCAGACGGCGAGGTGACTCAGCGAGCCAGCCAGCCTCAGCGCCCAACGACGGCAGGGTAGGCAACCCGATGACACGGCAGCACGGCGCGCTGCCTACCCTGGCCGCTTCAGGCGCTCGCTTGCTCGCCTGGCACACTAGCAACGCCAGACGCAGCCACAGTCGCAGTGGTGCCAACCACGCGCGGCAAGTGGCAACCCGAGAATGGTCGCGTATAAAGGCTACACAGTTGGCAACCCTGCAGCTGGCTGTTTACATACTCGGGCCCATAACTCACCCCGGGGACACCCTAATAGCCCAATATTCTTGTGGCGCTGCGGCCCGGGCTGCCGCCTCGCTCCTCCAACAACAACAACTAGTTCCAGCAGCGGTTCCAGGACGCCCCAGGCCTGGGCGACAAGCAGCGCCAAGGGCAGAGCGCGGCGCTGGCGTCGAATGCCAGCGGGGTCCATCATCCTGCTCCACCTGCCGACGAGCGTAGAGGGCTGGGGAAGGGCCGGGGAAGGGCTGAGCCGGCTAAGCCCGCCTCCCTCACAGATAAATGAAGCTGCATCCGCCAATGGCTGGCAATGGCGCGAACGGGCCAAGATTCAAATCAAATGGCGGGCCGTCCAAAGCGTCATCACTCAGTCGCGGAAGGTGAGGCCTCCCCGCGAGGCCCGCGAGGACGAAGCGCGCCAAGCGGCGAAGCGCGAGCCATAAATCACAAAAGCCGAGCGAGCGGCGCCGCGCCGGTCGGATTCGAAGCCGCGTCTCGATCAAGCAGTCATCAGTCAAGGAATCCGACTGGAGCGCGGCGGGGCGGCGGCGGGGCGGCCAGGCCGGCGGGGCGTGGAGGCCCCTGGCGTGGAAAACGACGAGGTTCGCGGGGCTGGCGAGGCTGGCTGTTCGCTGTTTGGCACGGGGCCGGGCCATCGGGCAGCCCATCGGGCGAGCCCTCCTTCATTACACAGACGATGGCCCGCCACACGTCCCACCCACCCCACCCCACCCCAACCTCCGCCCTTCCGCCCACCTGCCGGCTGGCCCACTTTTACCACCGGGAATCGCACCCCCCCCCCCCCCGGCCATCTGGTTCATTGGCAATATGCATGAAAGGGCGCGGTCGCGGCGGAACCCAAGACGGCCGAGCACATATTACGTGGCCCGGCCAGTTTTAACCGACCGCAGCCTTTCCAGAGAGACGCGCACGTAACACGTGGACGATCCACTTGCAGTGCCCTGCACGCAGGGAGGGGAGGGGCCGGGCAAGGGGCCGGGTGCGGTCAGAATGGGGTGTCAAAGAAGGGGTGGGGAGGTGCGACTGTGCGAGCAGACAAAGTTTCAGCAACAACAGCAACCAACGGGGACCAAAAGTGGAGAAAAGAAGAAAAAAGGGGAGGGAAAGGGAAACTGGAAAGTTGTTCCGTTTTTCGTTTTTTTTTACTCCTCTTGCCGGGCGGGCCGGGCGCGTGGTGTCACTTGGGCGCGTCACGCCGGCACGTCCGTTTCCGGAGACTCGGAGTTAGTTCGGGGAGTGGCGTGCGTGCCGCCCGGGCCGGGCCCGCGGACCGGCGGAATCGAACCCGGAACCCGATACTTCGGGGCTAAATCAAGTCTACCGGGGAAAAAGGAGTGCCGGCAGACACGCCGCCACCACCGCCGCCATCGTCGTCGTACCGACCCCCAAGATTATGGGGACAGAAGTAGCCCGGACTGGTTTTAAAAGTTACAACTGGATCCCCGGAGTCGTGCTCGAGAGGGGGCGCCCGACGTCGTCGCGAACCCCCTGCCCCGCTCTGCCCCGCTCTGCCCCGCTCTGCCCCCTTCCCCCGCCCCCTCGCGGCCCCGCCCCGCGGCACGTCTGCATATACATCCCGGGCAGGCAGGACCGCCCGGACCGGCCGTCACGCGCGTGGCGTCACGGGAGGGACGCCCGGTTCGTCGTCACGAGTGACGTCACGGAATGTGAAATTACGGCGATCCATCACGGCGCCAAGGCAGGGGGCGAGGACCCCGACGAGGACCCCGACGAGGACCCCGACGAGGACCCCGACGAGGACTTCGACGAGGACCCCGACGAGGACCCCGACGAGGACCCCGACGAGGACCCCGACGAGGACCCCGACGAGGACTCCGACGACGACTCGACGAGGACTTCGACGAGGACCGATGAGGACGGTGCACTGCACCGCGCAGAGTACATCGCGCGCGCAGCCGCCAGGCAAGAGTTTCAACGGTACCACGCGTAAAAGGGGGTGGGGTGAGGGGAAGGTGAAAGATAGCGGGTTATGTTTTGGGAGGAAAACGAAAATCGACTACCTTCCGCTCCGCACGCCCTGGCGGCGACGACGGCGACGTCGACGGCAGAGGGCTGGGGGACGCTGTATCGCAAGACACCCCCGAATATCCCTTCCGGACGAACAAACTCAAAGCAGCCACGCATGCTTGGCTGCGCGGGCGGCGGGCTGCGGGCTGGCTGTGGGCCGCGCGGCACGGTGCCATTCAGGGAAACAGAGCAAAGATGGATTGTAGTGCGGCTCGGTGCGGCGCGGTGCGGCTGTGGGGAGCCGCCGACGGGGAAGTCATTCAACAGCGGACGGACGGGCGGACGGAGCGGCCCGCAAGCCTTCATCATTCAAACAGCCAGCAGCCGCAGCCAGCGGCAGAGATATTTTCCCAAGACTTTGATTCGCTCCCCGCCAGCACACTGCCTCCGAGGGTCCTTTTCGTCGGCCCGTTTCTCTCGCACTCGAAAACGCGTCCCGTATGGGTGCGAGAGTGACGAAAGAGGACTCTGGGAGTCGGTCTGCTCCGCGTGCGGCGGATGCACCGCCGAAATGGCGCCAAAGGAAAAGGCGACTTCCTCGCGCTCGCCGAGAAATATGAGTGCTAGCAGTGTGCCGAGCGCGGCGGCGGGGCGTGTCTCCTCGCCGCGCCACGCTCACCCACGCCATCATCCAGTAGGGTGCGTTCGGCTCCGTTCGGCTGGGACTGGGCACGCCGAGGACGGGCACGCCGGCCCGGGACGGCCAGATAAAATCAACTTTATTAGACGCCACGCCACGCCGCGCCGCGACAAGCCCAGCCACCCCCGCTATCGCTGGAGCGCGAGGGAGCGAGGGGGACGCCCACGCCAACGCCGCCCCGCCCGCCCCGCCGCGCCCCGCCGCGTCACAGGGTGTTTTTCCATGGCGGCGAAGAGGCTGGGGCGTGCACGGCAGTGTAAGGCAGAGACACGCACACACACGCACGCACGCGCACACACACACGCACACCCAGCCACACCCACACACACACACAAGTGGCCGCGTGCATTCACGTGAAACTGGAAGCAGCATTCCTGCGCCACCGCCGCCGTCCCTTTGGTATGGCGGGGGCCTTGGCCGGAGCGCAAGTTGCAGACCGACACGGCCAGGCCCGGCTCGGCCCGGCTCGGCCCGGCCCTCGGGCTGGGCGTCGCGGCCGAGGGCCGAGGGGCAGATCAGCTGATAGCGTAATTGATTAAGAGGGGGAAGATAAGGAGGGTGACGGCGCGGAGTATCGCCGCGCGGCGTGGCGTGGCGCGGCGTCGCCGGGATGCTGAGGGGCCGTGATGTATTGCCGGCCGGTCGGCCGGGGAGAGAGAGAAAAACTGGCCGAGACGGGGCGGCATCCTTAATTAGCAAGATGTACTTACTTGCCGGCGTCGTTCTTGTCCATCATGATGTACTTGTCGCCGTCGCTCTCCACGCAGTGGCCCTTGCCGTGCATGGCCGAGCCGTTGATGATGACGCCCTGCTGGCCCAGCTGGAACCACTGGCCCTCCCACTCGGCGGGGAACGAGCAGCCTGCAACACACAGCACAAGCACGAGTCAGACAACGAAACCAAACGGAACGCGTTCCGGAACTAATGGGATGCTTTCCGTCCCCCCTCGCTCTCGGCAAGGTCATGGACCACGGCGGCGCCTTGTTCGGCCGCCTCATCCTCGCTGAATTCGTAAGCACGGCCGCCGGCGGGGCGAGGCGGTCGAGCCGGTCCTCGCCGGGGACAAACAACACTGCAGGCAAACTCGATGCACTTCGCTCGCGGGGCGCTTCTTGGCCCGGCCCAAGTTTCGTCCCGCCCGGCAGGCAGGCAGGCAGGCAGGCAGGCGCGGGCAGGCAGGCAGGCAGGCAGGCAGGCAGGCAGGCAGGCGGCAGGCAGGCAGGCAGGCAGGCGGCAGGCAGGCAGGCAGGCAGGCAGGCAGGCAGGCAGCCCGGCCGATGCGTCGCGGCAGTTGCTTGCCGTCCTGCTTAATTCCATCCACCGCCCGCGCGCCCCGCGTCAAAACCACCCGCAACAAAAGCGATTAAAATAAAAAGGATGAGAAATTAATAACAAGTTTTCCGGCTGATGTACAATCCATCTCGGACGCGGGATGAGTTGCGGGCGAAAAAAAAAGAAACAACAAGGAAGAAAATGGCGCGCGAAGCTCGAAAGCCCGAAAGCCCCAAATAATGAAACACGGCAGGAGCTCGCGCCGCAACGCGCCGCAACGGGTTGAGAAGAAGGAGAAGAAGAAACCGCGGCTGCCGTTCAAACTTTGATAGTTTTTCGCGTGCAGGCGACGGAGAGCGCGCGCGAGGGAGAGGCGAAACTTGAATCGCCGAGCTCGTATCGCCCTGGCTTTTCAAAGGTGCAAAAGTTTTGGGCTCAAACGGTGTCGCATAGCCGCGTCCCTGTCACCTCGCCGTTTAATATTCACAGCAGAAGCCGCCCCGCCCCACCCCCTTCTTCCACTGCCTATTTGCAGAGCGGCAAACACACTATTCGCACTCACGAGCCCCCGCGCCCGCACCCCCGGCCCGGCCGCGCCGTTAGCCCGCCGATTCGTTGTGCAGATAGCGACCCTCTCGCGAGGGGCGGCCAAGCAGAGCCAAGCAAAGCGAAGCAAAGCGAAGTGAGCGTCCCCCCTTTTGTCGGCCCAGGTGTAAAACATTTCACCTGCGAGACCCGAGATAACATTTAGAGAAATTTAGGATAATCGCGTGAGGAACAACAACAACGCTGCGCGTCTCCGTAAATTCCCGTCTGAATCTGGCAGCGTTCGCTCCCTTCTTTGTCCTGGGGGCTCCGGGCCGAGTGTGTGTTCTTCTGCGCCTCCCCGCCCGTCCCCGCCCGCAACGCACGCGCCACATTTTTCTTCGCGTCCGTGCTTTTTTCTCGGTCCTCACCTTGGCGGCCGATGCCGCACTTCGCTGCCGTCGCTCCGTCTCTCTCGCACTCGTGGGGCCGTAGGGCGTGTCGCTTCGGGTGCGAGAGAGACAGAGCGCTACCCGCCGGCCGCCCCTCTCTGCTTTGACAAGCCCGAGCCTCATTTGGGTGGACGCGACGCACCTCGGGCATCACGATTCATCCCAGACACGAGGCCTGAGAACGCCAAACGAATCTCCACGGCGCTGTGAGGCGCTGCACAGTGGGCCAGAAGACCGGTGGGGGCGGCCAAAACTCTAGACACGTTTCGAGCTCCAGATTCGTTAAATGGGACTCGAACCGAAGGTGTGACCCCACCAATGGATTGCTGCCCGAACGAGGAATCCATTGGTAGGGTCACACGCTCGGTCCGAGTCCCATTTAGCAACTCTGGAGCTCAAAACGCGTCTAACCGCCTCCACCGGTCTTCTAGCCCACTGTGCGCTGTGAGGCACTGAGGCGGGACTCCGAGAGCCCCTGCGGCGCCGCGGCAGGCGAAGCTCGGGCAGCACGGCCAGGCCGACGACGGCGCAGCCCAAGCAGGTGTGCCTCGGACAGGCGACGCGTTCTTTTCACTTTTTTCGGCGCCACATTATGCGTCTTCCCTCACACTTCCACGCGCCCTCACCGTATGTCCACTCAGCCGACGCCCGCCTTGACGCACGCCCGTGTGCGCGCACGGTTAGACAAAAACGCGACGGGGCGGCGACTTCCCTCCGAGGCGGCCGGGCGAGGCGGGGCGGGGCGGGGCGGCCGCTAGTAGCATATATTATACAAAATTTGTGCCGCGCCGCTCCGGTCGAAATCCGTCCAGGCATGCATAAGAGATACACGCGCCGTACCTGCTGCCAAAGGGGAGCCCACTGAGTGAGCGTGTGTGTGTGTGTGTGTGTGTGAGGGTGGGTCTGTGTCGCATTGCTGCGGTTGCGGCTGAGCACGGCCTTATTGGCGTCAAGGCATTGTGCGCTACACTGCTACACGGAGTGGGGGGGAAAGGGGGTGGGGGGTGGGGACGGAGAGAGTGGGCACATTCAGCCGCATTTATACACAGCGAGGCGAGGAGTAAGGAACGTCGTGGCCATGCAAAGGGCTGGAAAACCTTTTTCCCTCCCCCCTCCCTCCCCCTCTGTATCTCTCAAAAAAAAAGGCGGCGGCATACACAAGAAGGCGTTTTCCCCTGCGATCGTGGCACCAGGCAGGCAGAGGGGCGGGCGGGCAGGCAGGCCGACGTACAGACGTATAGATGAGCCTCCGAGAAATAGGGGCAGCCAATCTGGCGGCGCTAAGTTGTGGAGAGAGGGAGGCAAGGCAAGGCCCGGCCAGGCCGGGGACAGGGAAGGCCAGATTGGCGCCGGCCCGCTTGAATGGTCCGAAGAGACATACGAGACACGGCGAAAGCTAATCCCGCCAGGAATCCTCGCACTCACACTCGGGTCCCCGCAAATAAAAATAAAAGTTGGACTCCAGCCCCGGCGCGGCAGGGCGCGGCACGCCGAGCGGCACAACTTTCCGGGAACGGGTCCAGGAGAGCGGGGCGCGGCGGCGCGGGGAGCGCGAGGGATTGGAACGGCGCGGCGGCACGGCGGGCTAGGCTAATGCCTCCACTTTCAATCGGCAAGTTGCATTATACTTTCCAGTGGACCAGCCTGCAGCACGCCGTCGCCCTGTCCGCGTCCCCCCAGCGACACCACTGTGATCCAGCGCGCCGTGCCGCTGTCCTGCCGGCCCGCTGGCCCGGGGCAGACGCTACTCGACGTGCAGCTGCGCCCCGCCCCGCCCCGCCCCGCCCCGCCCCCCCGCCACACCCGATCACCTGGGCCGCAGAAGCAAATCGCTAGGCAGAGGTGGGCCTCAGGAGGACGGGGGCACTGGAGTACCAGAGTCTGATGCAAGCACTGCACTCGGCGGCACTGTGCCACAGACCCCCGGTCGGGCAGAAGGAACACCATTTGAGCTCTACTGTCCTCAAACGGGACTCAAACCGAATACGTGATGGCACCGCGCGACCGGAATCCAGTGCGATTCGGGTCAGTGCCGAAAGCGTGCCAAGAGTTGCGTCCGCCTAAACGAAACCGGGCTTTGTGACCCACTCCACTGTGTGCTGAAGTATGGAGGCTGGGCCTGGCTGGGCTGGCTGGCCCACTGGATGCGGCGCGAGGCACAACAAAGCAGCAATCACTGTGAACACCCGCAAAGTGAGATGGGAGCGTCTCGACAGTGCCGACCCCCTCCTTCCAGCGAGGACGCGATAAATTGAGGGAGCTTACACCCTGGCCCTCCCCCTCCAGGGAGTACCAACCAGCAAGCCTTTTACCCGAAATAAAGCTTGAGCTTACGAACAGCGACGAACGCGCAGGGCCCGGCCCACTACTGCCCAGTGACCCAGATTTAAAGGCACGCCTGGCGACAGCGCGACAGCAGCCAAAGCCATACTGCAGGGCTCTCTCGAAAGCAGCGCGAAAAAAAAAGAAGACAGCACACAGAAATTCTCTAGGAAAATAAATCAAATAATGCGAAGATCGACTTGGTGGTGCTTCCCTCGCGCGGCCCGGCGCGGGGCGGGGCGGGGCGGGGCGGGGGGGCGGGGCGGGGCGGGGCGCGGCCCTTCCCGATATTGTCTATAGTTATTACCATTACCCTCGGCTCGGCTCGGCCCGCCACCCCGTCGACCTGGCCCTGGCGGCGGTCCACGCTCTGACGCGGTCGGCGTTCTGCGATGGACGCGGCCAGTCCGGCCAGTCCGACCCAGGCGAGGCGGCGGCCCTCCTTCGCCCTTCTTTCCGCCCCCTCGGTGTTTCTTCTCGCTGACCGGCGCACTGCACTGGGCAGGAAGGCAGGCCCCAGAGAGACACAAGGGGGGGAGAGAGAGAGCGAACGAGAGGGTAAAAAGGGGCGAAAGAGTGAAAGTAGGCCGAACGGACAAGTTCGGTGCCCTGGCCCACCCGGCCTGGCCTCGCACTCCACGACGAGGGCCTCGATAAATTACGAGCGGGCGGTGCGCCGCGCGGCGAGCGCCTCGCGAGGAGCCCCGCCAGGCCGAGCACGCCGAGGAGACATCGAGGGGCGGCCATTCCTCACGACGCCTCACGGCCTCTCGGGTCCAAGGTCACATCGATCAGGCGGTCGAGCCGAGTGGAGCGGAGCGGAGCGGGCACTGTCATCAAATCACGACGCCGAAACCGCCAGGCCGCCCAATAGGCCGTCCGGCACGCCAGCCGCCAGGTGGACAACGCCACAACGCTACCCCTACCACAGTCTTTCCACCTCTCTCGCCTCTCTCTACCCCTTGCCCCTTCTCTCCCCCTGTGTGTGTGTGTGTGTGTGTGTGTGTGTGTTCGCGCTCCTAGGGCTCCCGAGGCGGCTCCGCATGCAGCAATCGCACTGACAGTGAAATACTTCCCGACCTGTCTGCCTGCTCGCTCGGCGCGGCGTGGCGCGGCACGGCACGGCGCGGCGCCCCCCGTGACGGGGACGGGGCGTTGGGGCGTAAGGGGGGCACACTGGCACACACGGGCGGCACGCGGCCCGTTTGAGGCATTGGCCTATTTTCGCTGTCATCCGAATGGAATGCCTCTCTGTTCTTCCCCGAAGCTACCGCAGCGCTATCTGTCGGC